ATGACTCCTACAGAAGAGAGATTTGGGAGCTGTTAGCTAAAGTCACTGATGGGTCATGGGATCAGTTTGGTAGGTCTGTTTTTACTTTATTATCTCGTTTTAGATAAAACATTTTGCTTTGTGTAAGCAAGGTTGTGGCAGTTGGCTATCTCATTCCACTTTGTGGATTCTAGGGATGAAACTTAGGACCTCAGGATTGATGGACAAGCCTTCATCTGTGGAGAGGTCTTCTCAGCTCTACCATTACTCCCATCTTAAGCATGGAGTAGAATAGAACAGATAACATCTTAGGGAGAGGGAAATGAGAATTCAATGAAACTCTTGCTTCAAATTCCCTATTGCAATATGAAATATATTTCTTATTAGTTACAAAAGCATCAAGAGAAAAATGTTTGCCTTGGGGTATTAAAACACAGATTCTCAGGCTCAAGAAAGTCGTGGATCAGAATCTCAGGAATTCTGCACTTTGAACAAGATCCCTTGCGGATTCTAATGGACTCTGAACTTTGGAATTTCCAGTCTGAGAGAGAGAACCTTTGTACGGTCTGGAATGTGAAGCGGTTTAACAGGCATGGAAGAGTTGATCAACACATTAGTTCAACTGCATTTTCATGGTCCCTCACCTATTTAAAGGACAGGGAACAGGCACTTAATGACCATAAACAAAATGGGATTGCCCTCTTTCCGCTGCTGGCTTCCCTTCTGAACTGTTTCCTCCCAATTCCTTCTGTACAGTGGCCCCAAGAGCCAAGCAGAACTGCTCTGCTATAGGATGGTCACGTAGCTTTAATCATCCCACACAGACAGATGAGGAGGAATTAGGTACCAGATGTGAGGCTGGAATGCAGCCCGTGGGGAAAGCTTGCTTAGCAAAGAACCAACCAAAGCCCTGGGCCAGTCACCAGATCTCTGTGTAGAGCAGGTGGAGCCTGTCCGGCCCTAATCCTGGCATAGTTCTTAGCCACCTGTCCTGACAACTGCAAGCAAGCCTCCCTGCAGGGAGAAGTCAGCTACACTGGGGCCTATGCTCACTTCTGGGGACTCGGTGGCACTGGCCTCTAGCAGCTGTCTCTCTCAGCTTACAGCATGAGCCCACTCCTCATCCACGGCAGTTGACCCAATGGAAGCACATCTAAGTCCATGTATGCATAAATGTATGCCATTGCCTTCCTATCTCCTAGGTCTCAAAACCCCCAAAAGTCATGATTTTTCCTCTCTCATTTTAGAGCTACATTTTAAAAGTCAATCGTAACATCAACGCGCTCATTCTGCGCTGACTGATTATAATTGGAGCACCTGGGAAGCCTCAGGAAGACAAGATTGCCATGATGAGTTCAAGGTCATCCTGCACTATGAGAGTCCATTAAACAAACAAACGCTGGGTGTGCTATCTCACAGCTGCCATCCTAGCACTTGTGAGGTAGGCTGAGGCAGGAGGAATGCTGAGATTTCAAGACTACAAAGTGAGTACGAGCGAGACCAACGATGGTCACACAGCAAGGTTAAAAAAAAGGAAAAAGGGCAAGGAAAGGAAAGAAACAAAGACAACGGAGACACATTGATTGGACCAGTTCCATTCCTCCATACTTTACTTCTGCTGAGTGGAGAAACTGCTCTCATGTACTGGGATGGTAGGTGAGTTACTGCTGCACAAGGGGCTCCTCCCTCCCTCCCCTCCTCCCAGTCTCCCTCCCCCCCCCCCTCCCTGTAGCCCCAGGGCACTCAAGGTCTGAGCTCCTCACACTGCTGTCTTCCTGATAGACATATTGCTGGGTGGGAGCTGCTATGTATTTTGTCTTTCCTCCCCAACTCCATTTTTAAACTGCTGGGCGACAGCAATCTTCCTGTATCTTCTGTGTGGTCCTCATGGTGCTTTGCTTCAGAAGTGACTTCTGACTTACATCCATGGGCATGTGAATGTAGAGCACAGAGCAGCCATATTCCAGACCTAAAGCTACCCACATTGGGCAACAGGATCAAAATCTGCTCATCTTAGCAGGAAGTGTCTCTCACCACATTTGGCTGGTCAAACACCAAATTCTAGTGTTAAAATCTAGGTGCTAAAACTAGGAGTCACATTATGTTTTAAAGAAAAGGAGTTCTATATGCACAGAGTAAGATTAACATTATCGACAGTTGCTTCCCAAACAAGAGTCAGGAATTATGTCGACAGTATTGTATATTATATGCCCTTTCTATAATAGCTTCGCAGTTTTATGCAATCTTCACAACAACCCATTAAGTAGGAATTATTGCTCCATTTCATAGATAAAGAAACTAAGGCTCAGAAAGCTCAAGTAATGTTTCAAGATAGAGAAATGGCAGCATCAGGATTTAAATTCGGATTTTTGTGAACTTACTACTATACCTCTCTAGTCAATCTCATATATTATTTATTATCTATTCAGTTATGTTTCCAGTTCTGAGACAACCTCACACTTTCCTGGAATTCCCTATTCCCGCACCTCAGCCTCTTAAACCCGAGGACTATCGATGTGTGCTGTGCCACCAAACCTGGCATTAATGTGGATTCACATGGCACAACTTGGAGAAGACTCCCTTTCCTACAGAAGTTTTGAGAAGCCAGAACAGATGATTTTTTTTTTTTTTGGTTTTTCGAGACAGGGTTATTTTTTTTTTTCTGGAGACAGAGTCTCACTATGTAGTCCTGGCTGTCCTAGAACTCACTATTTAGACCAGGCTGGCCTCTAACAGGAGATCTGCCTTCTTCTGCCTCCCGAGCACTGGAACTAAAGGCATGCACCACCACACAATACCACAAAACGGGTATTTTATTTGTTTTTGTTGTTGTTGTTGTTGTTGTTGTTTGGTTGGTTGGTTGGTTTTTCGAGGCAAGGTTTCTCTGAGGCTTTGGAGGCTGTCCTGGAACTAGCTCTTGTAGACCAGGTTGGTCTGGAACTCACAGACATCTGCCTGCTTCTGCCTCCCGAGTGCTGGGATGAAAGGCGTGTGCCACCAACGCCCAGCTTCAAAACAGGTATTTTAAAGCAAGCAACCAATCAGCCTACCACCCCATCTGCAGATAATGCCAGATGGGAGAACCTAAGAATATACTTACTTACATTGGCTCTGTAAGATTTCACTCTCAAGTTTTCCTCAGTCTGTTTTTCCATTCATACTACCCACTTTCTGTTTACCGTGTTTACCTCCTCCACTGACTCTCAACACCCTTCTAATTCTATTGTCTCTAAATTTGGACTCTATCCAGAATCTGACCGCTGCTATCATTCCCCACATCTTAACACATCTCTAAACTCTGCTGTCTATCCTCTACCTGCTGCAGTTTAGTCTCAGTTTACCAACGTGTTCCTTTAAAGGGTTCAATGAGCATCTGGGTGGTGGCCCACATGGCTACTCCCAGCACTGGGGCAGGCAGATCAGTTAGAGGCCAGCCTGGTCTAGAGGGCTACACAGAGAAACCCAGTCTCCAAACAACAACGCACACACACACACACACACACACACACACACACACACACACACAAAAAAAAAAAGAGGAAGGGGGCGGTTTCAGTGAAAAGAGAGGGGGCTGTCCATACTTCTCCCTACTCTACTTCATGGCCCATCCTTTTCCCTGGGAAATTCTACAGAGGCTGTTGCTTTTGCTTGACGTTCTTTACATTTTCATGACACACTCCTGCTCTCTCCCCGCTTTGCCTCTGTTTGCTTAAAGGTCATTATTCCAATTAAGGGTTTTAGTCAATACCCAGCTTACAGTCTATCTTCTGGATTGCAGGACTTCCATTCTCCCCCAGCTTGATCTGTTTCTGGTTTTGGCTACTACGGCTTAACCCGTTACATAGAATAGCATGTCTACTGTGACTATACTATTTCCTCGCTGGAAAGAAAGGAAGTTATAAATGTGTATGATTTGTTCACTGCTGTATTCTCAGCACTATACTGTGGAAACCATAGTGTGTTCTCAGCAAACACTTTTTTTTCCCCGAGACGGGGTATCTCTGTGGCTTTGGAGCCTGTCCTGTAACTAAGTCTTGTAGACCAGGCTGGTCTCAAACACACAGAGATCCAACTGCCTCAGCCTCCTAAGTGCTGGGATTAAAGGTGTGTGCACCACCACTACCGGGCTTGGAATCACTCTTTTAAAAGACAAAAAAGAAAAAAAAAAAACAAAAAACAAACAAAAAAACTCGACAATGCCTCAGGTCAATACACCAAATTTCCCCTACAGCCCTGGGTGCCTAAATCTTGATCTACTCTGGAGGTACTTGTTTGAAAAAGCTTGGGAAGTCAGGAAACGGGAGTCACTAGTAAGGGGATAATTTAAGTAAATTCTATTTTAATCAATCCATTTACCTCCAGGAGACAGAACTGAGAAAAAAGCTGAAATTATAAACCATTACAATAATTCAGGAAGAGATGGTGAAAGCTTAGATCATTTGTCACAAAGGAGGGAAAGGCACAATGACTAGTCAGATATTGGGGGACAGTGGGGGATCAGACCAAGTAAGTTTTAGGGCTCTATGACTGTAACTATAATGCCACAGTCCTGGAAACACAACACCCCAAGAGTCTGTTGGAAGTGGAGCAGGGAGGTAAATCTCCTCCCCCTAGATTAACATTTAGCTCCCTAATGTGCCTCCAAATAACCTAAGTGATTAAGTTATAAAGTTTACTCCAGTACAAAGCAGTGCATTAGAGACTGAAGGAATCCTCTAAGATCCCTGCTTATATTCCCATTTATCAGTTTGCTGAGCTGGACTTTGAGCAGGGAGATTCCCTTGTAAGGAAAAGGGCAGGAATGCTGTCTCGTGGGTTAGAAGTTTCAAGTCAATTGTGAACCAGAAGATAAAGACCTACCAAGATTCCCGGAGACTTCAACGCCTGATTTCTAGTTCACTGCAACACTTCAAAACTAGGCAGTTTTAGGTACCCATCCTAAAGATCCCCCAAGGAAATCGTTCGATCAATTTAGTTCAATCCATTTCTTACATAATTTGAATTTTAGTGTCATACTTTACCTGGAAAGTTCTCTCGATTGAGTTTAGGCCTACGGATGATCACAAAGTCTTTGTCGCTGCCTTTGCTCTTTAGCCGTTTCCTTGGAGGGCTCTGGGGGTGGCCGAGGTTCGAGAGCAGTTCATGGGGAATGTTCTCACTGTCCACCTCCTCCTTCTCCAAAGCAGAGACACCCATGCCTGAGAGCAGTTCAGAGGTCTTGCTGGAATCCCATCCCCACGTGAAGCTGGTGGTGACGTTGCTACTCTGGTCCGGAATCTCCTGAAGGTGCTTCCTGCAGAAGGGCACACATTCCCCATTCCTTTTGAAAGCACACCCCTAAATAATTCCAAGGTAGGAATGAAAGAAGCGTCAAGTGTGCAGCGCAGAAAAGTCACAGTGAGTAACAGTACTGTATTTTTAAAGTGTCTACAGCGGGCTTGCAAGAATGAAAGAGAAAATCGGAAACACATACACACCCCACTTTGAAAGGCTTTGGGATTTATGGTCCGGCAGAAGGCCTCAATAATTTCTACCCGTGGAGGGAAAAAGAGGGAAGGCATTCATACCAAGATTCAAAACAGTGGGAGGAAAACCTAATTAGGAAGTCAAATTAAACAGCACATAGATATTATCACTAAAGCATGCATCCATCCACCTTCTTCAAAAAGGGGACTAAATAACCATTCACATAATAAGATCATTTGAGCAAGAAGCAACATTCGCGGCCTAAAAGAATTCAAACGGTTCATTCATGCTTTGCCCGTTTCTGCCATCGGTTTACCTGTGCATTGCGTTCACGGATTGGGGGTTTTGGATGCGTGTATTAAATGAAGACCTGCCTGCCTCCCAGACTCCCGTTCCAGCGCGCGGCGCAGAGTGATTCCCCCGGGGCCCCAGCAGCCGGACCCGCGAACTAGCAACGTTCCATCAGCACCGCGCGCGCGGAGTTCTGCATCCCGCTCTCCAGCAGCCGCCTTCTGACGCCCCGTCGCTTGCTGGGAATTGTAGTTCTGGGGCCTGGCTCGCAGTCCGACTAGGGTCACTCCTACTTCCTCCACTCTTAGTTTTTGCCAAACCCTCCAGATACCCACAACCCCCCGCGGCGCAGGGCGGCCCTAGGGGTGGGGAGAGGACAGGCAAGCGGAAGTGGGCGGAGCTCAGACTGGCTGGGAAATGTCAGCCGATTGACCGGGTAGGGGTGTTTCTTTCCCCGGAGCCCACAGGCCTTCGGGTGACCACTGCCGCGGTCGCCTCGGACTGCGGGTCTCTGACCCCGGCAGGCTGCGGCGGACGCGACGCGTCTCAGTCCCTTCCAGGCGCTGTCTGGCGCGATCCGAAGGTGAGCCGGGGGGCGGGCGGGGGGCTTGAGGCGCGTCGGGGACTGGGGTCCCGGCCCAGCCTGGCGGAGATGGCCTGGGGGGCTCGACACGTCGAGCGGCTGCCACCGCCGCCGCCGCCAGGCCCATCTCCCCGGTCTCGGTCGCACGCCAGGTGAGAGGGTGGCACGCCTGCCCTGCCGCCCGCCACTCGGCTGCTTCCTCCACCTGGCAGGGGGCGGCCCTGAGGACTGGCTCTGTGGACAGGATCCTTACCTCAGCTGTAAAACAGGCTCGGGGACGACGCACACCCCACGGGCTTGGACTGAGGATCAAATCAGAAAACGTGCGTGTGGAAGCCCTTTTCAGCTAAAGCGCAGTTCCGAGAGAAGCAGTGGTTTAATTTCAGGGCAGCGGCGGTTCCCGCGGGTCTCCTCTTGCATCCTTGACGGGTCTCTCGGATGCAACCAAGGAATACGATGACGACGCTGTGCTGCAGCGAGAGAGACCACCCCGAAAAGCTGTTATGGTGCCTCTGACTCAACCCACAACCTCTCTTTGATTCTCTGCCTAAAAGCTGGGCTGATTGGAGCTCTCTGAAAAGGTCGGGGGGCGATTGGATTAGAATGACCATGCGAAATGCTAGTGTGCAAACTGTGCTAAAAATGTGACTCCGGGGCAACAGGGAAGAGGGTAAGGGACGCATTTCAAGTCCAATAAAAATGAAGAGGATTTATGAAGTTGAGAGACAAAAGCAGGCTAGCTTCATCAAAAAGCTAAGAATATTGGTTCATATGTTAGATGACATGTCCTTGTGTTTCTTTGAGGGGAGGGGGCAAGACTCGTTTTATAATGGAATTAAATCCCTCTTTTCGTTTTATAATGGAATTAAATCCCTCTTGCTCAGGTTCCCTCTTGCTCAGGTGTGTGTTTGTTTCTAGCGTGGTCCTTGCATCAATTACTTCTTGGCAGAGGGAGGAATTTATGAGCCCTTTGTTCTTAAAGGTGACAATGGTGTAAAAAGAAAACCAAAAAGCGCGGTGGTCTAGTGCACACCTTGAAGCTTGTCACTCAGAAGGCAGAAGCAGGCGGATCTCTGTTGAGTTCCAGGTCAATTTAGTCTACAGAGTGAGTTCCAGGACAGCCAGAGCTGTTACACAGAGAAGCCCTGCCTCGAAAAACCACAGAAACAGAGAGGGAAGAGGGAGAGATTTGCAAAGTGATTTTAATTAAAAGAAAGCAAAGTCTACTCCGGAGGCAGAGGCAGGTAGATCTCTGTGAGTTTGAGGCCAGCCTGGTCTGCTTTGCTACTTTTAGGACAGCCAGGGCTACACAGAGAAACACTGTCTCGGAAAAACAAAACAAAAACCGGCCTCACAAACAAAAAAGACTAGTATTCACAGTTTGTTTGTTCATTCATTCATTCAACTGTTGTGCTAAGAAAGAATGTTAAACCGAGACCTGAGTTTTTATATAAAGCTACCTTTTGTTACTTTGAAAAATTCATTTACCTTCTCTTGAACTGTGACCTTTCAGGTATGATTGTAACTCATTCAGGAAAAACAAATGCAGTACACTCTTTAAGGAGAGTCAACAAGACAGAGCTTGTAACCTAATGAAAGAAAACACAACAAAAATAGTTAAACACCATGAGGATAAACAGTGCTGAGCTAGGTGATTAGTAAAGACCACCTCAAAGATCTTGGAGGTGGGAAGGAATAATAGATGAGATATTTCTAAATTTAAGCATAAAATATAACCGTGTTCAGCCCTACGTTTAGCTAAGAGAATGCGTAGGATCTTTAAATTAGTGGACACAAGATCCTCTCTAAGACACCAAGTAAAGCCTATCAGCTTTGAAATTAAGAGCCTCTGCTTTGCCTTGATAATGGAACTATTCTTTTGTATGCATTTCTTCTTTTTTATTCATTTTTATTTATTTTGCATACATTTCTCCTAATCACAGCTGGTTCCTTAATACAGTAAGAAATTTAAGGTTTAAAATGGCACACATGAGTCTTTTTGACAGGAATTCTGTCCATTGAAGATTTGAGATTATTAGCTATGTAGAGACTGCCCTCTAGAAAGCATCGTAATTGTTGCTAATGTAAAATATTTTATTTCCTGATTAATCTTATTTAATATTATTACTCAACACACATTACATTTCATTTTAATAAGTCTTGAAACATAACTTTAGCATTAGAATTATCTGGGCCCAGAAACAATGAATCATGTTTTATATAACTGAAAATATTATTACGTTGAATAATACCCAGCATGTATGTGACATATGTGTATATGAATACATGTGGTATAACTATGTCTACGTAGACATCTCTCCAGTACTAGTTGGTCTCATTTTTGAAAATCAAATATAGTCAGAGAGATACAGTTAAGCATATAGGCAGTGTTGCATCATAGAAAGAAATTTAAAAATTTCTTTTTCCTGTTTTTGTTATTTAGCTTAGGGGAACAAGTCCTAGAGACAGCAAAATTTTTCAGTTGTGGATCAGATTATATCCTGTCCTTTTTCTTTTACTTGGTTTTAAAGTTATCTTTGGTTTCTTTGATTTAATAATCTGTAATGGGTAGATTATATCAATAACAAGATTATTTATTCTGTTTTACTTTGTACTTCTCTCATGAAAATTAGAAAAAAAATACTGTAGTCTAAATGAAATAATTACCCACAAAGTAAAAAGTTAAATTCTGTATTAAACATGACTTTTTGTTTTTAGCATTCTATCTTGATAGGTCTGGAAAATAATAGAAATGTTTTAAATTTATTTTTTATGAAAATGGAACCATAGAAATTATTTAAAACAAATTGCGTTTTTAAAGGATGTCTGGATTGGAGGGGAGACATGAAATTGAAACCCATCCTCTGTGGGCAGGACACCTCAGTTTGATCTGTTTGGCCACATGTGGCTGTGAGGACTTCTATAAGCTACTTATCCACTCTGCCATCTTCTCCTTATTAGTAGCAAGAATTATAGCAATCTTTCCTCAATAAATTGTGGGAACTAAATCAAGACAACAGATAACGTACAGTGTAATATCCTAAACATTGACTAAATCTTAGCATTCCTTTGTGGAAACATTACTTTGTTATAGAGGAGACTCAGATGCCAAAGTAATTCTTACAGTTTCTCCAACTGAAATCCTCAAGGGTTTGTGAAAAGGTTAGTGTTCCCCTTACCCACTGACCTGGTTGCCGCTTCAGCCTTTTCAAGCCAGTGCCAAAGATGAGTCATCTACTTGTGCCTCTTAACACAATCTGGAGCCCTTGTCACCTGGTTTGTCAATTCCTCTCTCAGATGGACCAAAACAAGTCAACCTTTGTTGTGGTCAAAGGCAATTTTTCCCTTTGGCTCTTGCAATCTTTTAGAGGGTTACACACAGTTACAATTTAGCAAATGTTCTGTAATAATTAACCCACCCTGATTATGTGCCTAAATGGAAGACATCATCTTGTGGAGCACTGGTGTGCTAGATGCACCTTCTTGACATGGTTTTGAGCTATATTTAGTCTCTTGCAGCAAACAGATGAATTGTTTAGGTACCTTGTAAACTGAAGGAACTAATGCTCATTTGTTGCAAGGGAGCAATAATCTTTTTGAGCCAGGCTCATTTCTTACAAAGGAATGAGGATGCGCTTTGGGAGTTTTAACCACAGAAGTAAAATGCAGTTGCTTTCCTTTCTTATATATACTTTCTTAAGGAAAGCAGACTCTTGAGGCTAAAACCAATGCTTTGAGACCATTGGGACAAGTAGGTACTTTCTAGAAGACAGCATAGGTAAGCAGCTAGCACATATTCAAGACCTGTTTTGTGTCTGGAACTCTTCCTTAATGTTTTATGCATATTTGGTCTTTATAGCCACAAGTGGGAGGTACTCACCCTCATTTTAGAGCCCACATTGCATAATGTACACAGTTTCAAACAGTTATGGTTTTAAGCCCAGGTTTTACAAGATATAATAAAACATTAATTTTAAAAGAGTTGTAACACCCAACACAAGCTTTCATTGTCAGTGTATTTAATACTACATAAAATCCTGTACTACATTAAAACAACTCTGGCTGGGCATTGGTAGCGCGCACCTTTAATCCCAGTACATGGGAGGCAGAGGCAGGCGGATCTCTGTGAGTTCGAGGCCAGCCTGGTCTACTGAGTGAGTTCCAGGACAGCCTGCAAAGCTACAGAGAAACCCTGTCTTGAAAAAACAAAAACAAAAACAACAACTCAAAATACTGCTATTTATTACTAAAAATTGAAAACATATACAGCGAGGCACAAATAAGCTAGAAACCATTTTTTTATACACCATCATCACCACTTTTTGTTTTATTAAATATTTGTCCTTCTGTATTCAGTTGGCAATGGTGAGATCTGAGAACTTCCTGGACTAGTTACTGCAACCATTTAATTGTTCTCTGTTTTTATATATACTGCTACAGTGAAAACGAACATTGTAGATAAATCTTTAATACCTATTTTGCTGTTTCTTTTGTGTACATGTATGTTTTCACACACATGCTTGTGTGTGTACATGTGTGTTTATGTGACTGTACAAGATATGTGTGCATATGAGGCCAGAGAACCACCTCTGCTATTGTTTCTCAACGCTGTCTACCTTATTTTGGAGAAGTGTCTCTTCCTGGAGCTTGTTGATTAGGCAAATCTGGCTAGCTATCAAGCCCCAATGATCCACCTGTCTCCTTCCCCTTAGCACAGGAATTATAAGTGTGTGTGCTCTCACACCCAGCTTTGTGCTTTGGTTTTTTTAAATGAGTAATTCAAAAAGGAAGTGATGCCATGAAGGTACAATCTTTTCTTTCTTTTTTTGTGGGGGGAGGGTTGATATATATTGCCAAATTGCTGTTCCATTGTTAACAGGACCAGATTTTTAAAAATTGACAATTACTTTTACAAACTATAATAAATATATATGTATATTAGATAGATAGATAGATAGATAGATAAGATACTTAAGTTAGGTAGAGAATAAAATAACCTGCCTTTCCACAGTTATTCAGTTGCAGAAACCAAAACAAGCTATAAGAAATCATAGGTAGTCATAGAAAGTTCTATAATTCTATACTTAAAAAATAATTCCTCATTTGAATCTACGAACAAGATCAAAGACACAGACTTTAAACCCATATTCTTTCAGTTTAGGGAAACCCAATGAATCTCCAATTTTGTTGGACTTCACACAAAAAGAGAAGTAAATGACGTGGTGAAAGAATAGTGGACACATAAAAATAGCTATCTTATTTATCCTAGACATTATTTCTTTTACTTTAGTAATATTTGGCCTTTAGGTATTAATATCTAGGATTTGGAGGGTAATCTATTTCTGTTCTTTTTTGTATTATTATATTCCTTGCCCTAAAAATTTTCAGATAATTAAATAGGTAGATAAGAGTATAAAGAGATTTTATTTTTCTGGTAGTAATTATGTTGTACTTAGACTCACACTGGGTTATATTTTTTTATTCTTTAATTAAAAAGTAGTTTCATACAATATGTTTTGGTTGTTTTTCCCCTCCTCAATTCTCAGATCCTCCTGCATTCCTACCCACCCATCTTTATGTTCTTTCTCTCCCTCTCTCTTTTAAAACAAAAACATAGAAACTAATATTAATGCAAGCAAAAGACCTATAAGACAAAAATAGTTAAAACAAAGCAAATGAAACAAAAAAGTACACACAGAAAAGCAAAAAGAAACCACCAACAACAAAACATTGAGTTCCTTTTGTGTTAGACAACTACCCTTGGGCATAGGGCCTGTGCTAGAGTGTGGCTGATATCCCAGTGACACTCCTTTAGAGAAAACTGATTTATTTTCCCTGAGTGCTATTTTTAAAAAGATGAATCTTGGAGGTAGTACCAGGTTTCAGCAGCCTATTCCACCTTGCACTGTCACTTAATGTGTGGTTGCCTTAAATATCCTCTACTATGATATTTAAATTATTCAGTAGCACTTGATAAGGTACCAAACAGACATTAATTTATAAATTTGTTGTAAAAACTTTAAAATTGCTTTGGAATTAACAGTAATAGAAGACAGATATTGGATCTCTGTGAGTTCGAGGCCAGCCAGGTCGACAGAGTGAGTTCCAGGACAGCCTCCAGAACAATACAGAGAAACCCTGACTCGGGAAAAATATAATAAATAAATAAATAAATAAATAAATAAATAAATAGGAGCTGCAGAGATGGTTCTGTGGGAAGAGTGCTGATACACAGCATGAGGACCAAAGTTCAGATTTCCAGAACCCACACAAGAATCTAGGTGAAGAGACACATGCCCTATTGATGGGCAACAGGGCCAGAGACAGGAGAATCTCCAAAGCTATTAGCCAAACTACCAAGCTCCAGATTCAGGGTGGGAAAAACAAAAATGAAAACAAAAACATTGTTCTCTGTTCGCTTTTTTTTCCTTTGAGAAGTGAAAAATCATTTGCTGATGTTTGTATTATACACCAAAAATATTTTCCAACTGGGTGTGGTGGCACATGCCTGTAATCCCCCAACACTTGGGAAGTAAAGGCAAGAAGTATTCAAGGTTCATTTTTGGTAGAACTAGTCTAGGATACATGAAACCAAGTTTCAAACAAACAAAACAAAATTGTTGTCTCAATATTGAGGAAGCAGAAGTAGTAGAGTTACAAGTTCAAGGCCATTCTAGTCTATATAATGAGTTAGAGGCTAGCCTAGGCTCCCTAGCTAGACCATGTCTCAAAAACTTGGAAACGAAACAAAAGAAACTTAGTCACTTTGTCGAGTAATTGTTGGTAAGACCAGCTATGGTACACATGCCTTTAATCCAGCTTTCAGGTAATTTACAGTAGCAGATTGATGAGTTTGAATCTAATCTAGGCTATTTCATGAATTTCCAACTGACCAGTGTGGTCTAGATAGTTTTTTAGTAGTAGTAGCAGTAGCTTCTTTGTACATAAAATAGAAAAGTTGCTTTCTTAAGTAAAATTTATACAGATTATTGGAAAATGTTAGCCTATAAAGTAGATCATAACAAACTTTAAATCATGAAAGTTGAGTATGAAAAAGCATAAATGGAAAATAATGTTTCCAAAGAAGTTACTTTTAAATGCTCCTGTTGGTGACTTTCAGAAAATATTATAGATGATCTTAGAAAACTTTTATTTTTATTAAATGTCCAACTTCCTAGGATAGACTTAATATCTAATTTTCTATGATAACTTATTTATATAAATAAATGACATTCTGTTACAAAGATCTACCCCTAACCAAGAAGCTATTTGCAATTGATACCTGATGGCAAAGAGAAAATCAGTTTTCTCCAATGGAATGTTGTGGGATATATCAGCCATGCTCAGGGCAGACCTCATGCCCAAGAGTGGTTGACCAACAAACAACAAAATGTACTCCATTGTTTTTGTTTGTTTTGTTCTGCTTTTGTTTGTTTTGTGCATGTATGTGTTTTTGGTTTTTTGTTGTTGTTGTTGTTGTTTTTTCGAGACAGGGTTTCTCTGTATTGTTTTGGAGGCTGTCCTGGAACTCGCTCTGTAGACCAGGCTGTCTCAAACTCACAGAGATCCGCCTGCCTTTGCCTCCCACGTGCTGGGATTAAAGGTGTGCTCCACCAACACCCGGTGTGTTTTGGTATTCTTTATCTTACAGGTATTATTTATTTGTTTTGGTTTTTTGGTTTTATGTTCTTTTGAAAGAGAGAACATGAAGTTTGGTAGTTGGGGAGGTCGTGAGGATCTTCCAGAAGTTGGGGGAGGAGAAACAGTAGGATCAAAATGTATTGTATGAAAAAGTTTTTAAATTAAAAATAATTTCAATATTTCACTAGCATTTATAACATTAAGAAACATAATCAATATTATATTAAAACTGCCCATATCTTAGTATTAATAATTTCTTAAATTTTTAATATTTTTAAGAGAATGAGTATGGCTTTTATTACAATATTTTCCCCAAAGAAATCAGTACGCAATATGGCAGTGAGAAACATAAAGAATATATGATGTATTTAAAAATAGTGAATCATATGTATATACATAGTCCAGGCTGGCCTCTAACTCGTGCTCCTCTTCTCATAGCATCCAAAGTACTAGGCTAAGGGTATGTGCTAGCACCCAGACTGTTTGTGAAATTTTAAAGATATAGTTTAAAAAGTAAGCTATAAAAAAATTTGTCATTTCATCTTATTCACAAGCCAATGTAGTTATACAACCATTTTCCAAAGAGTATTAATACATTAGTAAAGTACTTAAAACACCTCCAGATTGTTGTTTCCTGTATTAATGGTACATGCCTCTTTCTTTTCTTTTTTCTTGTCTAGAGAACAAATGTGATCCAGAACTGTACATGAATCACTTTGGTTGGAGATCGTGAGCATTCAATAATGAGTGGGGCAGCTTTAGGACTTGAGATTGTTTTTGTGTTTTTTCTGGCATTGTTCCTCCTTCATCGATATGGAGACTTTAAGAAACAGCATAGACTTGTAATCATTGGAACACTGCTTGCTTGGTATCTCTGCTTTCTTATTGTCTTCATCCTGCCACTGGATGTCAGTACGGTAAGAGTTAAATTGAGATACAGTTTAAAAGACAATTGTAATCATACAATTTGAAATATGCTTTGAATATTGCTTTGTTAAATTGACAAAAATGTGAAGTTATCTTTACATTTTGAATTTCAGTGTTTTAGGAATTTAGTTATTAAACAGTATAGCCAGGAAAATAGGTAGGTAGATTTATGAAATACCCTTTAACTACTTGGTGATTCTCATTTTAAAACCTTGTATTCATTGCTTTAGACAATATACAACCGATGCAGACATGCTGCTGCAAATTCCAGCCCTCCTGAAAATAACAATGTTACAGGAATGTATGCACCTGTCACCCCAGCTCCAAGGTACCTTTTCCTTCTGCTTTCCTACTTAATGTAAATACTGCAATATTTCAATTGATAGTTTTACTGCCTATATTTTATATTTATAAAATTTCCCTATTGTTCCTCCTATTTTCATCCTTGCTAGTATATTTATTGTATTTCATGGTGTTTAAATATAAATTTTAAGTCTATATCAGTATATAATATGGTAGTGAGACCCTTAAAGAATTCTGTTTTCACCCCTTACTAAAATCTAAAACCTCGTATTTGTCTAAATCTGTCTTATGGTTAAAAGTCATGGACATTCCCAAGTTTCAGCACCATAAATAAATTATAAAGGAGAAGCATTTTCTATTTCATGTGATTTACAAGAGTTAACACAAGTAGAGTTTGGCATGGTGGTGCACAACTATAACTCCAGCATATCAAGAGTTCAAGGCCAGCCTCACCTACATAGTTCAAGACTAGCCTGGGATACATGAGAGCTTGTTTTTATAACTTCCAAACAGAAACAAGCTAAAACAAGGTTATTGTGAATAAAGGATCATATACATGCACACACACACACAAACACGCAGAAAAACTCATACACACAATTAAAAAATAATTCTAAAAGAAACATAATTTTACCAGTCAGTAGTGGTGCATGCCTTTGATCCCAACACTCGGGAGTCAGAGGGAGGCGGACAGGTGGTTCTCTGTGAGTTTGCAACCAACCTGGTCTACAAGAGCTAGTTCTGGGACAGCCTCCAAAGCCACAGAGAAATCCTGTCTCAAGAAACAAAAAACAAAACAAAACAAAAAAAAAAAAGAACAAAACAAGAAAGAAAGAAAAGAAAAACAATTTCACATGAAGAAAAAAATTCAAAATTTCAAAAGGTTATATTGAATTGCTACTAAGTTTCCATATAAGAACTTTGGGGAGTATATAGGTGCTTCTTTATGCTGCTTTTAGAAGAAAATATAGGGCCTAGTGAGATAGCTCAGTCAATACAGAGCTTGCCTCACCATCATAACGACCTGAGTATGGTCCCCAGAATTCACATAAAAATGTTGTGCATGGTGACATGCACTTACAATCCAATTGTTGGGCTCACTGAACCAGTATAGCCAAATTGATGACCTCCAGACCAATTAGAAACCCTGTCTCAAAGGAGTGGAGTAGTTCTACTGAGGATGACACCCAAGGTTGTCCTCTGACCTTCTTGCCACAGGCACTTAGTGCACACATAGACTTGCAAGAACATCTAACTTGAATAAGGATAAATGTTAGTCTTTGAATGACCACTCAAAACTAGATGTACAGCAGTCAGTTTGAATTAAAAAGAGAGCCTCAAGGTCTAGAAAACTTTTAACCGGTAGAGTTTATGGTCAGACACTCTTCCTTAGAAAATATGAACAGGTTGTGTATACATGTGGGTACTTTTCTCTGTATTGCACCCTTTAGGAATTAATCACCTAAATTTCTGTTACATTGAATTCCTATTAAATTTCTGTTCTAGCCTTCACTACTATATAACAATAAAGGATAAAATATAGCCAGCCCTACAAATGGGATGTGTATATTTTAAGTGTAATCATTGAGTATTTGATTCCATAAATCCATTTGTTTTCTAAGCTTTTCACATTATCAGTCATTTAGTTAAATACTAGGGGTTCTTTTCACTAAATAACTAAAAAATACACTGGAAATTTAAAACTTAAGTAATATTCCTTTTTAGAGTAAACAGTTTTGTTCCTTTCACGTACAGTGTTTGGTTTGACAGCTTTCTTTTTAAATTTTTCTCAGATACTATGATTTGATCAATAATTACTAATTTGACATAAATGAACCTCACAAATTTATATAACCTTTCATTTAAGAAATAATTATTTGTGATTAATTGACTTTAAATTGTTATAACAGACTACATCCATGTTTCAAGCCATGGAGTTATATTCCGGATGGGATCATGCCAATTTTCTGGAGGGTAGTTTATTGGACATCACAATTTTTAACCTGGTAAGTGGCAGTAAAGATATATTTTTGGCTAAAGTGACTAATTTTTAGTCAATCTTAATATTCTAAAATGTATGTATCCCATTTTTACTAACTCAAATTTCTCCTGTCTTTAAAAGACAGAATAAAGGAAAGGGAAAAAAGGCAGACAAAAATAGAAAACAAATGAAAATTTTTCTTGTGACTCTCCTTCCATGTCATCCTTCTTGTTTGACCTTGAATTCAGTCCTTTCAGCTCTGTTATTATATCAAAATGCTTTTATTAATTAACTTTACCTTGGTTTTCTTTCTTTAATATGTTTTTGAAATTACATAACTTCCTCTCTGTCTTTCCTTGCTGCAGCCTATCCCAAGTATCCTCTCTCACACCCTTCCCACACCTCCACCCCCAACTCTCAGGTTTATAGTCTCTTTTTCTTTGATTATTAATGTTACATAAATCAGTTTTTGGTTTTGTGTATATGGCTACAGGATTGACCACTCTGCACTGAACAATCGATAAGGCGCTCATCTCTGGGAGAGGCCAATTCAATTCTCCCTCTCCCAGTACTCATTAGTTGTCTGTAGCTCCTGATCTCAAGCAGTGGTTCTCAGTTTGTAGTTCATGACCCTTTTGGGGGTTGAACAATCCTTTCACAGGTGTCACCTAAGGCTATCAGAAAACACAGGTTTTTACATTGTGATTCATAACAGCAAAATTACAGTTATGAAGTAGTAATGAAAATAATTTTATGGCTGGGGAACACCACACCATGAGGAACTGTGTTAAAAGAGTCACAGCGTTAGGAAAGTTGACAACCACTGGTCTAGAAGTAGCACCCCACAAAATTTTCCCCTTTCCGTGGTCCATAAACTATTGCCACAGTTCTGGTTTTATTTATGCCACTATTACAAGAGAGACTGTCTCACCACAGACTTCTGGTATTCTGTATCATAAAAATCTTTCCTCTTCCACAGTGACCCTCACGACGTAGATGCAAGAGCTGTGATATAGACTGGCTTGGGAATGGCTCCCCACAGCCTCTTGATCTGCATTGTGTCCACTTGCATTTTTCTGTAATTGTCTCCATGTTCTAGAAAGAGAGACTTCTTTGATGAGTCATAGTAGCTACACCAATCTGGGTATAAAGATAAGATTCAGAATATATAAGGAATTATGATGTTCTAACAAAGAGGCAGTAGTGGATTGTTTCTTTTTTTTTTTTTTTTTTTTTTTTTGGTTTTTACAAGACAGGGTTTCTCTGTATTGTTTCGGAGGCTATCGGTCCAGCCCGGCCTCGAACTCACAGAGATCCTCCTGCCTCTGCTTCCCGAGTGCTGGGATTAAAGGCGTGCGCCACCACCACCCAGCCAGTGGATTGTTTCTAATGTGTATGTCCTTACTAGCCTTAGGAAGCTGGGTAGGTTTTCAGTACCAGGCATGATTTCCTTCCTGTTGAGTGGGCCTGAAGTTCAATTAGACAGATGTTGGTTACCACCAAAAAATGTGAGTGCCATTTACTGTGCCATTACAGATAGTTTGCTATGCTGGTTATTATTGTGGTTCATAGATAGTGCAGTTGGGTAGGATGGTTTAATTGCTTCTCTCTCTTGGCAACTTGCATAGTATTTTATGAAGGAGGCTAGACTGGAGGAAAGAAGCTTTCAGGTTAGACCCAGCTCAAATTATCAAGTCTCGGGTCCTAAATATCCAATGTCTTTAGCAATAGGGACTCACCCTCTAGCCCTGCCTGCTTGCTCATACATTCTCATTTCCTTCATGCATGTTTCCTTTATTTCTGTGACCCAGTTCCTAAATGCTGGTCTTCCCTTGAGCCTTATGTTTAGTCATCTGCCTGCCTGTCCCCACATAGCATCAATTACAGCTGTGCAACCCAATCCCATCCCCACCAGTCCACAGTCTACCCAGGAGTTTCCTTCTTTTTCCCCTTCCCAGGAAAATCCAGGCATCCCTGTTGCACTTCATACCCTCTTTGTTACCTGTCCTTTCTGGGGTTGTGGATCATAGCACAGTTATCCTTTATAGCTAATATCCACCTATGAGTGAGTACATGTTTTTCTGAGTCTGGGTTACCTCACTTAGGATAATTTCTTTTTTTAATATTCCATCCATTTGCCTTAAATTTTCCTGATGTCATTGTTTTTAACAGCTGAATAGTACATCTAGATTGTTTCCAGGTTCTGGCTATTATGAATAACACTGCTATGAACATAGTCTGTTTTTATGCCCTGTGTTGTGGAGATCCTGCAGTCCTGGGTCCACAGGTGACCCCAGCAGATCTCCACCTCATTTAAAATCCTATCCTTTAAAAAAAAGTCAAGCATTCTCATTCTTTAAATTCAGTACAAAGGTTGCTCTAAAGGAATTACGTTGTTATTTATGTTTTTGGTTTTGAAATGGGGTCTAACTATGTAGCCCAGGCTGTCTTCAAAGTCAGCCATCTCCCTGCCTCAGTCTTCCAAGTGCTAATATTACATCATATACCACAGTTCTGACTTCTTCATAAGGGCTCTAAGGCCTCATTTTAGATCTTTTAGAGAATCTGAAATTACTCATGCCGTTTTACTCTGCATGCTGTTGCAGCCTCATTTGCTGCTTCCTGCTTTAGGACCTTTGTTTTCCCCGGATTTAATATTATAAAAATATTTATTATGATTCATTCAGTATTAACATGTAACTATTCAGAATAATATTTACTGGGGTGGAGAATTATACATGGAGATTCATGTATTTGGAATATTTTAAGATTGTACAGATACATTGAGTCTATAATCATATATTTTCCATCCAACTAGGATTCTGTTACCTTTTATGCAGTCGTATGCAAGATCTGGAGGGTTTTCCATTACTGGGAAGATAAAAACAGCCCTGATTGAGAACGCGATCTATTATGGCACTTACTTGCTGATATTTGGAGCATTTCTAATTTATGTGGCTGTAAACCCACGTTTGCATTTAGAATGGTAAGAAAAGTAGACTTTTTAACACTGTTGTGTGTATATTCGTACTGTTTTTAATGAACTTTTATTGCATACATGTAAGTATATAGACATACATGCCAGATTATATGTCTTGTAGATATCCATCAAAGAATATCTGAATAATGTATATTACTAAGAAAGAAAATCCAGAGGGGCACGTTTAAATATCACTATTAGGTGGTGAGTTAATATTTTGACAAATAACCATATGATAAAGAACAATATTTTTAACAGAATTTCAAATTTTGTAAATGTTCAAAAATGAATTCCCCCTACCACAGCAACTTACATATTTTTTTCTTTTTGACTAATAGTTTGACAGGATAGTTTTCCTATTATCTTAGGTTCATGTGTTTTAATAAATTAAGACCTATTTTGTGCATATGATTTCTAATGTATGTATGTTACCCCAAATTTGTGTATAGACTAGTAGCACTAGGTCTCATTATTGGTGTAAGTCAACCATAACACAAGTTAATTCAACTGTTTACACGGATCTTTAAGTTAATCTTAATTTAGGAAGCACCTAGTGAAAAATGTTTTATGTGAAGAAAGTGTGTGTGTGTGTGTGTGTGTGTGTGTGTGTGTGTGTGTGTGTGTGTGTGTGTTAGCGTGCTATGATTTATCTATATTCTAATTTTGACTATAATTTAAGCAGTGTTTCCTGTATTAAAGTCTATTTTTACAGTCATACCCTATCTTTACATTAAAATACATGGGGTATCTGCTGTGACTGAAAAGAAAAGTTGAAAATTTCTTCATATAAAATCCTACTTTAGAGTTATCTCTAATTTAAAAAAAAAGAAATCCTACTTATCCTTTTGGACAGTTTTCTGGAAGTTTACGTTTATCACAGATATCTGCTTATATTTTCTATTTGTTAGGAACCAACTTCAGACTATTGGAATAGCTGCTGCTAACACATGGGGTCTGTTTCTTCTTGTGTTATTATTGGGGTATGGCTTGGTGGAGATTCCTCGGTCATACTGGAATGGAGCCAAAAGGGGTTATCTACTTATGAAGACTTACTTTAAGGCAGCCAAACTGATGACAGAGAAAGCAGATGCAGAAGAGAATTTGGAGGATGTAATGGAGGTAAGCAAATTTAATCATACAAAAGCAGTTCTGATTTAATAATACTCTGTCTCTGTTGATTGTTCTCTTGACTGCAAATGGTGTCATGTGTAGTCTGTAAATGTTTTCTCAATTTTAACTTTCATGGTAGATGCCTATTTTATGATAGTAAATGGTAAAATAGGCTACCATATGTATATCTTTTCTTCATCAATAGCACCTAATTTGAAGAGTTGCTAAACATTTTTAGGTTGTGCTGATCCTTTGTGATTTTTATTAGCTTATCAGAAATTTTAAAAATATATATGCATGCAAGTGAGCTTGTATGGTTCAAATTCAATTTTCAAGGGTCAGCTTTATTTAATTTTAGAACTTTACAAAAGAGATTTTCTTTTTAATCCCAATTTTATAAATGAAGAAAATAAAGTCCTGGGAGTTGAAATAACTTCCTTTTATACACACAGCTAATAAGGGGAGCCAGGAGATTTAACTTTAGTTCACACCTTAACAGGAACCATCCACCTTTTTTAAAATATGAAGCAACAGATGGTAAATGCTTGAGTTTTGTTGCCATGTGGTCTCTACTGTGGTTGCTTGGTGATTGTGTCCTGAAAGCAACTGTAGACTCCACATAAGTGAAGGAGGGCAGATTTGTAGCCCAGTGTGAGAACAGGTGGGAGACCACTAGATTTGCTTCGGTTTGATGACCCCCCAATGCTTTTGTTTGTTTTTGTTGTTGTTGTTGTTTTTCAAAACAGGGATTTTCTGTAGCTTTGGAGGCTGTCCTGAAACTACTAGCTCTTGTAGACCAGGCTGGTCTCGAACTCACAGAGATCTGCCTGCTTCTGCCTCCCAAGTACTGGGATCAAAGACATGCGCCACCATTGCCTGACTGATGGCCCCCAATTCTTAGCTATTATCCTTTTTTCTATCTCTGAACCTTCTGTTCCCAACTTACTTCATTTTCGAGTCTTTAGAAAAAAGAATTCCTCAGGAAGCCTTTTGTATTAGCAACACTGGGCTGCTATAAAAAAAAAGTACTACAGACTAGTGGCTTAGTCAGCCTTGTTGTCTCTAAGAACACAGTTTCAAAGTCAGTTTCCTCTGAGAGCCATGATGAAGATTTTTGCATTTAGTTTGGTAGATACCAATTGAAACTTCTGAGGAAAACCTTTAAGTATTTAAAGATTTATATTTGATTAAACATTTGATGAAAGAAGATAATTTTTATCTTATAGTGTTCTGCCCAAGAATTGATATTAATTTGTTACAGATTTGAAAAATTTGGATTTTGCCAGTTCATTTACTATGTCTTCAACAAATACAAGTCAAATGTATTGTTTCAGGGTCTTTTTTCTTTTTTCTTATAGTATTGAACCAACTGTGTCACATACACTCAGTAGTTGCATACGATTGTGCTATATTTATCCCCAACTTCTTCACTTTTTTTTTCTTCAGATAGTGACAGGTCTCTGGAAGGTATCTACCTAGGCTGTGAACTCACTTTGTATTTGTGAGCTAGCTGCCTCAGTCTCCTTAATAGCTGGGATTACAGGCCAGCTCAGATGAACCAAGAATATCTGAATGAAATAGAGAGATGCTTTATTATTAGATAGAACCCTTATGAATAAGGCGTGAAAATTAAAATCTAGCATTTGTGCCTTGCATGTTATTTTAGTGTACTAGTCATCAGTTGAAAGTGGTAAGATCTAAATATTTTTATAAGAGAAAAATTTCTATGTGAAAAAGAAGGGATCCTTTGTTCACCTCTCCTTTCATTCCCCTTCCCACCTCCCTCCTTCCTATTCTTTTCTCGTCTCTTCCCTTTCTTTCCCTTCCTTCCTTCCTTCCTTCCTTCCTTTCTTCAAAACTCTCTCTCTCTCTCTCTCTCTCTCTCTCTCTCTCTCTTTCTTTCTTTTTTTAATTTGAGACAGAATTTTAGTACGCTATTATATATAGTCCAGGATGAGATCATAGGCCTGTACCACCATGTCTGGCTGACAGCATTCTTTTTTAATGGATGCTTTGAGAAAGCAACTATTGTACATAGATAGTAGAACTATGTTCATGACATATTAACTGTCTAGAGTAGAAGACCATACATTCATTCCCTTATGGTATATGATAAAAGTGAGCGATATACTGGAAGTGCTTTAATATGGAGAAGTTTCACAAAAATCTGGAGAAAGATCAGGAAAAATAATTGACCAGGGATTTAAAGAATTACTGGAATGTTGATAGCTAACAAGATTCTAATCAAATACTGGGAAGTTTAGTGGATAAGGCACTGGCTTCCTAAACAAGCTAATATTTCAAATGCCTCCCAAACTTTAAAAATTAACTGTTGAGTAAATCTTAAATTTATAACAGATAGCAAGTGTATAAAGCTAACTGTTTCAGTCCCTACTTTTGTTTAATGGGGCTAAATAATTTGAAGGGAAAACATACTATTTCATATACATGGTTAGATTATATATGTTAACAGTTAAACAAATTTGTGCTAACTACAGACTTTAAGGAAACTTAGAAATGGTAAAATATAATGTCAAGCATCCAAGGTGACCTTTGGAAAGCACCAATGTGATCTGGGCATAGTAGCAAAGATACTTGTAATCCCTGCTGAATCAGGAAAGTACTCCAAGGCCAGCCTGAGCTACATAGCAAATCCAAGTTAGAATGATCTATGTAGGAAAACATCTCAAAAAATTGTAAATAAGTTTAAAATCTAAAATAAAGATTAAATCTAATCTTACCAGACATGTACTTACAACAACCTTATCTCAAAATGAATTGCTAGTCAGATTTCTGGGAGGTCTTGGATATTGTCTCTCTAGTCTGATCACATGCTAACCAGGCCCTTATTGCCCTTTTCTCCATAGTCATGCTGTTCTTTCTCTCTGATACAGCTCTTTGACTTGTGTCTGGAAGCCTTGGTACTCACTGTCATTGTCTCTCTTGTTCTTCCTTTTAGGTTGTTGAGTCTTACTCATTTTGTTTTGTTTCACTTTAAATGATCAGAAAGACTCCTAAACTAAATCATACTCATTCAGAACATCCTGTACTTTTCTTTTATAGCATTTCTATATCTTTTTTTTTAATTGTCTGTTTTCCTCAATAAGCTAAGTCCCTTACAGGAGTACTGTCTGTTGATATCAATTATTCAGAGTATGAATACATTTGATTTTCATAGTTTCTGGTAGCTCTCCAAATAGATCACTTTTTATTGTTAATGATGTTGGGTTTGGTATGAGCTTATTTTATTACGTGGTATTAAATTTTTTATGATTTTGTGAGAAAACTCATTTGGAATTTGGGAGTTTTTTGAAGCTTGAGTAACCTCTTATATATTTATAGGCCAATTCTATTTTGTATTCTCATTTTTTAATGTTTACTAACAAGAAAGCTTCACATACTAACATACTAATGGAACTCTGCCATATAATTTTTTTGTAGTTTTCTTAGTGTATGAGATGGTTTTGATTCTCATTGCCTATCACTTAAAGCCCTTCTCTAATACTCAGAATATTCTCCTAAAATTCCCTTTGTTTTCTCTTTATTCCAGGCCTGTGCCATGCAGGATTTTTTGTTTTGTTTTGTTGTTTCTGCATATAGAATAGTAATCCCAACATTTTATTTCATGAATATTATAGGATATTGTAATTCCTAGAAAATACTAATTCCAAAGACTCTGATCCTTACCTACATCTGTATGTGAGTGTGTATGTTTTACCTGTTAGTGTGTGTTTGTTCATACATGTTCACATTTGGAGGCCCAAGGTCAATATTGCATATCTTTTGTTGGTTGGTGTCCACTTTTATGTTTTGAGATAGGGTTTCTCCCTGAACCTGAAGACATTGATTCAGTTAGACTGGGGGGCCAGTGAGCTTCAGTGATCCTCCCGTCTCCACCTTCACAGTTCCAGGGCTACACGAGAACATCATTTTTTTTTTTTTTTTTGGTTTTACGAGACAGGGTTTCTCTGTATTGTTTCGGAGGCTATCGGTCCAGCCCGGCCTCGAACTCACAGAGATCCGCCTGCCTCTGCCTCCCGAGTGCTGGGATTAAAGGCGTGCGCCACCATCGCCCGGCTACGAGAGCATCATTATCCTTGGCTTTTACATGGGTTCTGGGGATATGAACTGAGCTCCTCATGCTTGCATGGTACTATCTTACCCAACAAGTCATTTCCTTTTCTCTTTTATGCCCTTCAATATTTATTAAAATACTTATCACAATGTATTAATTTTAGTCAATGAAATTGTCATTGCCTTGTTGCATTGGTCGTGTTTCATATCACTGTAATAAAGTAACTGACAAAAACAGTTTAGAGAAAGATGAGACTGTTTGGTTTACAATTTGAAGGGATAGTCCATCATGGCAAGGAAGTATGGAGATAGGAGTGTCAGGCTACATGGTCTCCAGTTAGGAAGTGGAGCAAGAAATGTTGCTGTTGAGCTTACTTTCTCCGGTTTACTCAGTGTAAGGTAAGGTGGGTCTTCCCACCTCAATTAACCTAATGTAGAAATCCTTCACAGACACACTCACAGATCTATCTCCAAGGTCCTTGTCAAGTTGGCAATCAGTGTCAGCTATCACAAGTCACCCATTGTCTATGTGATATCCAAACATAGCACTTTTTTGTTTGTTTTTTTGAGACACGGTTTCTCTGTGGCTTTGGAGGCTGTCCTGAAACTAGATCTTGTAGACCAGGCTGATCTTAAACTCACAGAGATCTGCCTGCCTCTGCCTCTTGAGTGCTGGGATTAAAGGTATGCACCACCACCGCTCAGCCAAACATAGCAGTTTTAAGCTAGAACCTTCTACTCTTTATCCCCATGGACTCATGATCATCTCATAATGTAAAATGAATTAAGTTCAATTTCAAAAGTCTCCATAGTATTTAACAGTTCCAACATTTTCAAAAGTATAAGTTCAGAACCTCTTCTGAAACTTGAACAATCTCTTAAACGAGAGTCCCTGTACAATAAAAATGAGGTACATACATTTGATGGCACAGACTAAACATTCCCACCCCAAAAGGAAAGAATAGGGACATAGTTAGGAAAGCTGATACTAGAGCAAGACCATCACACAACAGGAAAATACTAAATCCTGTAGTTCGGGTCAGGCGTCTGGGACCCATTGTAGAATTATCTGGGCTCTAAAGAACTTGAATAGCCCCTGTCCTCCTGTAACATACTTAATCTCTCTTTTGGACTGGTCTGGTATATGACAGTGCTTTCCTTAGTAGACTTTCCATGGTCCTAGCATCTCCAACACCCTTGAGTTTCCATTTCAAGGTAGACTTCACCTTCCGTGTTTCATACAGGTGGCCCTAACAGGCCTTCTTATAGGAAATCCGACCTTACCACATACTGCCTGTCCTTAGTTGCCTTCTGGAACCTATGCACATGCCTCTGTGACCCCTTCACTCCTTCATCCTTCATGCCTATAAAACCTGTACCTTGTGTGTGAAACAGCCAAGTTCTGCTGCCCGGACAAGATGAGGCAAAGCCTTTTTGGACCATTGCTGCTGTGTTTTTTGTCTGCTTAGACTGTTTTTCTGGAGTAGAAAACGCCTTTACTGGCATTCTTAGTTCAGACTTCCTTTTTTCAAATGAGTTTGCGTTTTCTCAGATCTTCAATGGAGGCGTCTTGTCCTCAAAACTTCTTTCCTAACTTTATAGTTCACGTACATTTCCTCACCAAACCTGACCCATATCTCTTTGGTCTTTCACCATAGAGCTGAATGAAAACAATGAGCAGTAGCCATGACACAACTTGAATGCTGTGCTGTCTTGAATTTCCTCCACCAAAGAGTTTAGTCTACATGTACTCCCAGCAGCTGCGATTGCATGCATAAGATCAAACTAGCCAGAATCCCAGCCTAAATGGAGAGGGACTATGAAGTTCCATCTATAGCTGAGGAGCTATTTTGGTAATTCATTGCTACAGGGATTAGAGGAGTTGGTTTTCTTCAAGGATATGGCCCCCGAGAGGCTACCCATACTCCCAGACATACCCATAGATGTCCCAGATTCTTTGCTAAAATGAAGCAAGCTTGGCTTCCGTCCCAGATCCTGATAGTGCCCTTGATCCCCTCTGGAACCTCATGAGTTGACCCTCCACATCTGTATTTCTTTTCATGTTCTTGTCTTCTGAACTCCCACCAGAATGGTTTACTAAGCTTTGCCATAGCAACTGTATTATCTCTCTAGGCCACAGTTCCAAAGAGCCATGTGATCAGGGTTATCACAATAATGATCCCAATTCTACCAAATTCTACAATACTTACTTTTCTTGTTGTGATAAAATACCTGTGGAAAGCAGTTTAAGGAAGAGAGGACATATCCTGGCTCACGGTTCTGTCTGAGGGTATGGTACATCATGGCAAGAAAGGCATGACCAAGGATCTGGGCAGTTGTTCACATTGTGCCCACAACCAGCAATATGAGAGTAATAAGTGCTTCTAGTCAGCTAACTTTCTCCATTGAATATGCAATACAGCCTCAGCCCATGGAATGCTGCTGCCTATATTTTGTTCAATCTTTCTACCTCAGTTAACACAGTGTAGAAATCCATCAGATGTGCTCAAAGATTTGTTTCTAAATGATTCTTGATGCTGAGGAGTTGAAAATCAGTATGGACTTTCACACATCTTCTCATCTTATGTGGTAGTCTTTTAGCCAGCACACTGCCAACAGGTAATATGGTCTTAGTTTATGGAGTCATATTAGTGAGATTTATGGATATAGCTTCTAACAATCCTAGGAGACATGACCTCACAGCAACTCTTTAATCCTCTGGCTCTTAGTTTTCTGTTGTCTCCCCACTGCCACACTGTCCACAGTGATCCCTAAGCCTTTAGGTGAGGTTATATTGTAGGTGTATCCCTTGACTTGGCACTTGGCTCTAATTCTTTGTTTTCTGTTGGAAAGAAAATTTTGATAATGAGTAGGGTCTAATCTTGACTGTGAGTTTAAGGAAAGTTGCTATCATGCTATGCCATTCCATGACATAGGTATCCTGGCTGAGTAGGACTGTTGGTTGCTTCTCTCCCTTGGAAGCTTTCATATTATCTTCTGGAACCATGAAAGCTGGTCCCCATGAATGAGGTTTTCTAAATCTATTCTTAGTTCAGGAGCTTCTTAGTCTTCTGTCTTAAGTGCAGGGTGTCTTCAAGCGATAGGAATTTAAAAATAACAGTAGCCTAACCTTGACCAACAACTCAAGAGGGACTTCTCATACCTGGTTTTAAGGGTTTTGTTAGATGTTCTTTGGCTGTTGTGGGGAGCATTGTCATTCCAGATGGGAAAATTTCATTTAAACTATATATGTATATTTTATACACACATGTATTACAGACTTTTGAACAGCAAACAATAGAGAATAAATTTAGAAATTCATAAGATAGCAAGAATATAAATACAGCTCTTTGAATACTTTGTAATTTTAGACCTGATCTTAATAACTTTTATTCTGTGAAAAAGACTTCTTGTGTTGCTAAATAATTTGAGGTGCATTATCATTTAAAATGTCTGATTTATAGAAATTAAATGCTTTTATTTTCTCACTGTTTTTATAGGAGGTTCGTAAGGTAAATGAAAGCATTAAGTATAACCACCCATTGAGAAAATGTGTTGATACAATACTTAAAAAGGTAATTATATTATAATTTTCCCTCTGTTTCTTGTGAATATACCTTATGTACTACTATAAATTAATATTTCACATAGAAAAAGTAAGATAAAAACATATGGTCAAGGTGTTCTAGATGGATTTTCATATAAATCTTTACCATAAATTACCAGAGTAATTGATATGTAGAATTTTTCTTATGCGTTGTAAGTTTGGTGGTAATTTTTGACAGTGGTTTCCGTGGAAATGTGAAGATAGCAGTAATGTTGAGTAACTTGCAATAAATGCATGGTGTAGTGATAGAGGTACATCTTCACTGTACCATCGTGTGTAACCATTAAAGGCTCTGTCCTGTAAACGTAGGTCTCAGTAATTCTTACAACCAACATCTCACATGTACTTCTATGATATGTTATGAAATAAATTACATGGATACTTAATAAATAAACCATATTGCTATGATTTTGATGGAGCTGTATTGAATTGCAAGTGTATTTGTATGCTTCTAAAATAATTATTTGAAAGTTCCACAGTTATCTTTATGTATCCAAGTTACCACTGAATTTTTTTCTTTTCCTGAATTCTAAATCTGTTCTACTGGTTATTATTGGCTACTGTTCCTTTAGGTAAAGTCATAGTCATAAGAATAAGTTTTCTAACCATTTCTCTCATATTTGCTATTTTTGACACCTATTTAGGAAGGTTTATAAACTTGCACAACTCCATATAGGTAATAACTAACTGTCAATATGACAGATAATCCTAATTATGTATCTCTTTCTGCATACTGTGGCTTTCAGAACTTTAGAATGTTAAATTTTTCATGATTCTTCTTTATTATTTAGGAAAATAATTGAAGTCTTATCAGGTGCCTATTATTAGAATAATCTTCCCAAATAGTTGTTACTTCATGTAGGTAGGCTCCCTTACCTTTCCCATACTCCAGCTAGTATATATAAGCATAGGGTTAAATATTCATTGAAGTAAAAAGAAACTCAAGAGTCCAAGAAGAAACTCAACATACCTTTGACATATTTTTTTGAAAATGTTAGTGAAAAATCTAACAAATAGAGATGTCAATAAAAGAAGAAAATATTTTTGAGAAAATTAAAATTTCCCATAATGAAAGTTTTTTAATAAAAATAAATTTTATTAATATTTATTAAGATTTGCTAAATTTTTAAATTTTTATTAAAGAGTTCTTAAGATTTTATAAAATTTTTCTTTTAGTGCCCTACAGATTATCAGGAAAAGATGGGTAGAAATATGGATGATTATGAAGATTTTGACGAAAAGCGTAATACCTACCCAAGTGAAAAAAGTTTGGTAAAATTGCATAAACAGGTAACCTTAATTATTAACTGTAGCTATTTTACATGCAATTAGAAGATATTAATTAATCTAATAATTATGTTTAGATAAAAAGGCTGTGTGCATGTTGGCTCGGCAGTTGAACTGCTTCAACTCAAACCTGAGGAACTAAGCTTAGTCTCCAGCACCTGTAAAAAGCCAGGCATAGTGGTGTGCATCTATTTCCGGTGCTCGGGAGACAGAGCTAAGTCTACCACTGGCTTGTGTCAAAAACTAAGGTGAAAATGGATGGGGAAGACATCTGATACTGGCTTCTGCTTACCACATGCACACAATGATGCATGCAAGCACCCCGTCCCCAAATGTGTATGCATGTAAATGAAATATATATCCAGAACTATTGACCTTGTTGTCACTATTGTTGAAATGGTTTAACTTTTTGTTTCTGGACAAGGATACTCTTGGTAATTCTATATCAAGGAAGTAATTTGAAATTTCAAAACGTTAACATCCTTGGCCACATTTAGACAATTCCATTAGTGCTACTTTATTAAGACAAAAACAAATCAAACCCCATTCTCTAGCAAAATGTTGACCCACTGTTCAGTCATGCTGACTGACTTACCCTTCTCTGTTTTTAAGGTCATTTACTCAGTTCAAAGGCACCGTCGAACTCAAGTACAATGGCAGATTCTTTTGGAACAGGCATTCTATCTAGAAGATGTAGCTAAGAATGAAACGAGTGCAACTCATCAGTTTGTTCACACCTTTCAGTCACCCGAGCCAGAAAACCGATTTTTCCAATATTTTTATAATCCTACAGTTGGTATGTAATTTGACATAACTTCCAAAGTTAATAATTTTTCTATGAGGAAAATGGATGTTTCATCAATATAATACTGACTTATATTTGTATATTAATTTGTTCCATAAGGTGATATTAGATAGCTGATAAACTTATCTCAAAATAATTATTTTACTTCTAAATTTCCTCCCAGAAGTCATTGGTTGCTTAAATTCTTTGTGTAGGGGTGGGACCCCATGGAATTTCCCTCTTCCAAGTTAGCATGTCCATTGTTAACATCTTCTAAGTTAACATTGTTCATTGCCATTGTTCCAGTCTTGATATAGCCATTTGTAGAGAAGATTGTTTCACCATGGACTCCTGGTGTTCTGAGTTTTACAATCTTTCTGCTTCCTCTTCCATGATGTTCCTGAACCACAGATATAGGAGCTGTGATATAGTTAAAAAAAATTACAGATAAAATATTTGATAACAAAACAGGTTGTAATGCTATATAATTTTATTGAAGTTGTTTGAAATATCAATTGTCACTAACAATGAATCTCACTATAAATGTGTATCATGACATGAGCTATTGATGTAAAACTTTATTAATTAGCTATACTTTAAAAACTGAGCATTCTGAGTGTTAACAGAAATTTTTACATTATTCATCTACAGTATTTAAAATATTGGCTCCGTAATATTTGATGGTATTTCTTTCAAATAAACATTGTGTTTATTTTTAAAAGTTTTTTGAAGTTTCTTAATATATTTATGCCTATGATTTTAAGTATACATACATATACAAAATGCAATTTGAAACCAGTTTGCATACATAATCAAACATTTGCTTAGAGACCAAGAATAAATAAATGAATAAGTACTAAAAAGAAACAGAAAAGGGTAATAGCTGTGGTTTGGGCGGGGGGCTTGAAGTATAGCTTATTATTGGAAAATAATATTACAGAGAGGAAAATTACTAAAGCCATAGAGAACTCTGGAGCAGTATTCATGGACAATACAGATGAGATAGGAAATAGTAAACAATGAACAGAATGGCCTTGCATTAGGAGGTGAGACTGACAGACATACAGTTTTAGTGAGAAAATATAATGGTAAAAATGTTGGTAAGTCTTCTGACTGCTTATACTCTCTTAGGAATGTACTGACAATAAATACAAGAAGGAGAGTTTTCAAGAAGGTAAAAAATAGTCACATGGGAAATGGATGTGGAAGAAAATGGAGAATTACAGTAAGCTGTCCAGGTGTGCTAAAGGTCTGTTTGAAGTTGGTGATAATTTAAAGTGAGAATAGTCAGTAAAGATGTGTCTTTCTTCTGCAGTGTACATGTATACAGACTCAGAGTACCCAAGGAGTTGGATCAAACAGTGTGGTTTAACCAAACAAATACAGTGAAGCAAGAGAGGGTAAAGAAATTGGGACTGGAGAGTAGTTATCCTCAAAGACTATGGAATCTGAGCTGGGAAAGGAAGGAAGGACATTAAAATTGTTCAATAACAGTAAAAAGGTAAAAGAATAAATATCTTATTTGTCCTCATAGTCAGTATAGTTGGATACAGATGAAGATGATGAATTTGAACTTTATGGAAAGATTGCCATTGTAGCATTAAAGGTTTAGGAAAAGCCATTGAAATGAGTAATCAAGTTAAAGAGGAGTATTAGATGGTGATCTCATTAGAGAGAGGAGATGGAAGCAATGAAAAAAAAAAGAATTGTCTGTGTGGATATTTAAATAATCAGGAATTACCCTGAGGGTACAGTGGAAAAGTCAGTGAAACTAGACCTTAGCTTTTTAATAAGTGAAACAAAAATATAGCTTTGTTGCAAGCTGTAACCCAGTGGTAGGTATGTTTAGGTCACACTAACCCTGGGTTCAGTCTTCAATGTGATGGATGATGGATAGATGAAGATCTTTTTCAGTTTATTGAGCTTTCTTTTAACCTTTCTTTTATTACTAAAACTCAGACAATAAAACCAGAACTTCACAAACTATTCTCATGTAACTAACCAGGTTCTTCATATGTTAACATTTTATTAGATTGATTTGCTCTTCCTTTCTCTACATACATTTTTTTCCTTAATCTTTCAGAGCTGTATCCATGCATGAGGTCTTTTGTCCCCTAGGAATTTCAGTGTATACTCTCTAAAACTATAGCTTCTCAAGTGTAACTCTAATAATTAGAGAATTAACATTAGTAATTTACTATTACTTATATCCCTTATGCATATTTTGATTAATTATGATAGTGATACTCTTTGGAAAGAAAACTAAAGCTCACATATTGTATTCAGTTCTCACTTTTTTTAGTCTTTTAAAATCTGGAACAGTTTTTCTGTCCTGTGTGTTTTAGCCTCTTTGTATTTTATAGCGTTAGTGTTTATGGATAGCACAGGCTAGTTCTTTACTGATTATCCCCACATTGGAGTTTGACAAGCCCTCATGATTAGATACAGCTTATTTTCAGGAATACTGCAAAGGTGACGTCATGCTCTCCTGAGTGCATCAGAGCAGGAAGCACATGGGATATCAGTTTGTACACTGCTGTTGGTCATTTGGCTAGAGTAATGTCTGATTTTCCACTGTGAAGATGCTACCTTTCTCTGTGTTGTCTGATTGGGTGCTTGTTTGAAAGTCTATAAGTACTCTATTACTGATTTAGTTTCCTAATTGTGTGTTTCTTGTATTTTCCAGAATGGTACTGGGAATGCCTGTTACGTCCATGGTTTCACAGGATCCTTGCTGTGGTTTTGTCCGTCTTCTCTGTGATTGTTGTGTGGTCAGAGTGCACCTTCTTTAGCACGACTCCTGTCTTGTCTCTCTTTGCAGTCTTCATACAGCTGGCAGAAAAGACATACAACTATATTTATATTGAGGTCAGTTTTTTTTCATATCTGTCATAGATACATACCAGTTCATGCAGAAGCTTTAACTATTGTATCTTTCCCCATGTTTCTTCTAGTAAGAATGAAAGTAGTGGAGTTTCCCACAGTTCTGTTGTTCAGACTCCCAAAACTGATGTTCATCAGTTTACCCAGACGATAAGTAGTAGGAGCTGTAGTTGAAGATCAATGAGAAAGTATAAGATAGTGAAAAAGTGCCGGGCGTTGGTGGCGCACGCCTTTAATCCCAGCACTCGGGAGGCAGAGGCAGGAGGATCTCTGTGAGTTCGAGGCCAGGCTCGACCGACAGCCTCCAAAACAGAGAAACCCTGTCTCGTAAAACCAAAAAAAAAAAAAAAAAAAGATAGTGAAAAAGTATAGAATAGTAGAGGAGGTTACTTTGATCCTCTTTTGTCACTGAAACTATGCAACTTATTGTCTTTCTGTAGAGTTGTCAAGAGAATAGGTAAACAGTTTCCTTCAGGGCTCTCAAAGTCAAAACTTTGGATCTAGGAGGTTGAACTAGTTGAAATGTAGATTGATTTTCAAAATTTCATCTTAGCTATTAAAAAAAAGGTACTATTTATAGTTCTAGTTTAGAATATCAGTAAATGTAGCCAGGGCTAATGATAATTCTTATGGCAGTAAATAAAGTAATAAAATCTTAAATCAAGTTTTAACTGTTTTTTCCAGATTGCTTGTTTCCTTTCCATCTTCTTCTTAAGTATCTGTGTTTACTCTACTGTGTTCAGGATTCGAGTGTTTAATTACTACTACTTGGCTTCACATCATCAGACTGATGCCTACAGTCTTCTTTTCAGTGGCATGTAAGTAGACTTGAGCTTAGGAAAAAGAAATGCTTCCATTTGAAGTGATAATTATAAATCATAGCTCTCTTATTTCTTGTTCATGGATGTTGAACTAATTGATTTCTTTTTTTTTAATTATTAGATAGGTATTTGTGATCACCAGCTAAATTCTGCTTGATGTTTATGGCTAAATTATGAATGCTTTGTTAGTGAAAAAGACACAGTGAGCCTGAACTTATCAATCTGAAACTAAGTATATGAACAGTTGAGAGTTATATCAGACGTAAATAGTGTTCTCAGAGTGGCCTAAAACTGAATAGAAGTTCTAAGAATGCAAAGAGGAGCTTTTCTTTCCTGGAGAAATGTAGAAGGCTGGCTTTAGCTACAGGTAATCGATCCAGGCTACTTATTAGTCAGGTGTATTAGGTATTTATAAGGACTAGGCTCAGAGAAGTTCAGAGTAATATCTGGTGTCAAACTTTGTCTTATAAAAAATCAAAACCACTGGTTAGTTTCTTGTAACTGTTACAAAATACCTGACACAACTTTGGGGAAGAAAGATTTATTATGTCTAAAGGTTTCAGAGACTTGTTTGAACCTAAAGTGAGGCTGCACTTGGCAAGGAGAGTGCACTGGAGCAGAGCTATCCACCTCATGGTACATAGGAAGCAAAGACAGACTAATAGGACCCCAAACATGGTATCTTTCCATTTATAGTGCCAGGTAACCTGCTTCTTCTATCTAGGCCTAAACATTACACCATCCCAGAAAATAGAGCCACTGATTAAAGGCGAACCCTTCAACAAGTGAGCCTATGGCAGTCCTTCCATATTTAAGCTGTAACGTGAATTTTTAGAATGTTACAGATACACTGTATAACCTTTTTCAAGCTTTTCATCATGGTGACATTGTCTGTAGTTGCTGTACAATACCAAACTAGGAAATTTATACTGTATATTACTGTTAGCAGCACTGTAAGCTTTAGTTAGTTCTTATATTTCATTCTTCATTTGTGTGTAGATTCCCACAGCTATCACCACCACCTTAGAGCGTTCTCTCACTACAAAAGAACTCTTGTTGATACTACCTCCTTATATCTAAACCTTTCCATTCACCCAACCCCGTTCTCCAACCCTAGCAATGTAAGATACTCATTTTATACTTGATCTTAACCAGAATGCTAAATGCAGGCACCCCGAGGGCTGCGATTAAGTATATAGGCACTTGTGTTCTTAAAGGAAATGTGATTAATAGGATTTCAGAATATGTCTCCAGTAAGAGCAATTCAAATAATTATCAAATTATATATAACATGCAAATATATAAAAATTATAGTTACAATGATCTGAAATGTTTTAAAAATATTATATATGATACTTTTATAACAAATATATATTTACTATGGTGTAAATTTTATTTTGTTATAGTTAAAATATATGTTGATACTTTTAAATGTTTATTGTAGGTTATTTTGCCGTTTGACTCCCCCTTTATGTCTTAACTTCTTGGGATTGACCCATATGGATTCATCCATCTCTCACCAGAATACCCAGCCAACTGCATATACTTCTGTAAGTATGACTCTTAGGTTCATTATCTATGTCAGGTGTTGTTATGAGTCGTCTTCTACTATCAGTAGACAAACTCTGTAGCATTATTGAACACCTTTTTTATCACTAAAGCCTTCACTTAAAGGCTATGTATGTAATTACTAATAAGGGCATTAAAGTAGTTTTCCTTATAAAATTATAAAAAAATGTTTTTTCTTCATATAAATTACTTAGATGCACTGCATTAAAAACCTGTCTCATAGTAGCATTAGCGCTTATATATATGTAATCTTTTTTTATATGCAATCTTAATGCCTAAGGTTTTGTAGTAGTTATAAAATACTAGAATTCTTTAGAAGAAAACCTTAACAAAAAGAAAGTTTAAGAAATACCTACCACTTGGTACTTTGTTTCTAAATTTTGAGAAGTCTAATTTGTTGATATAACTGCCTGTGGGTAAATTTTATTATGATAGGAAGAATGAAAACGTGAAACTGTGCTGATTTAACTCTTCTCTTGCTCTTCAGATCATGGGTTCCATGAAAGTTTTATCCTTTATTGCAGATGGATTCTATATATATTATCCTATGTTGGTGGTAATTCTCTGCATTGCTACTTATTTTAGGTAAGAAATTCAACATTTCTTTTTCTCATGCTCTTAGTTGGATATAGATATCCTTTCCCCTTAAAACTCCCTTGAATATTTGCTGGCTTGGTTTTAGTTATTTAGTTTTCAAAGGTTATGAGAACAAGGGTAGTTTGAAGGGCCCTTTGGGGTGTTTGAGTCATTGTGTTACGGTTATGTAGGCTATAGAGTGATAAGAGAAATTGAAGGATGGTAAAGTCCTGGTCTCTGACACTGATAGCCAGTATGGTTTATATACCCTTCCACATCTAGCTTCTTTACTGTACACGATTTAGTCTTTGGGCTTTTCCCGTAATTGTTGCTGGGTTTCTAAATCCTGCAGATGATAGCCAACACACAGATTGCACTTACATTCAGGAAGTATGTATAAAGTTTGAAGAGAAAAACTTCTCTGTGTCTAGTAGGTGCACAAGCTACTCTTCTTGTGGACTCAGAGAAGATTATAAGGTCTTGGCAAAGGTAGATTCAAAAGAGTTAAAGCTATTACAGTAATGAAACTAATACCAGCCATAGTTACCCATATAAGACCTATACAATATCAAGTCAGAAGTAGTTCCTGCAGAGATAGGGATTGATCTCCAGGTCCCACTCTGCCTGAGGATCGATTGGTAGTTGATAGATGCTCTGGAAGATGACATTCTTCTTTGAGGCTGAGGTAGGTTTCCCATGCTCTAGTGACTGGTCGTACATCCATGCATATATGAGAAGCCTTCATTGGATTTAGTGGAGTATTGCTTTAGAAAAAGATGCCAAGTTATGTGGGGAGGTATTAGGAAGTATGATGACAGTTGGAGGGGGAAAGTAGAGATTATGTGTAATCATATTCATTCTATACATATATCACATTTTTATGAGGGGGCGGGGTTTTGAGACAGGGTTTCTCTGTGGCTTTGGAGGTTGTCCTGGAACTCACTCTGTAGACCAACCTGGCTTCAAAGTCACAGAGATCCACCTGCCCCTGCCTCCCAAGTGCTGGGATTAAAGGTGTGTGCCACCACTGCCTGGTGATATATCACATTCTTAATTTAAAAAAAAAAGCATATGCTTGCCTTAGCATCCTGTTTCTTAGTTTCTCATACATATTCCACACCCTTATACTCTTGCCCCTGCTTCAATGTCCCAAGACATATCCAAATTTATAAAAACATTTATTAATATAAACCAGTTTGCTTTTCTAATGAAAGAAAGTTTATTAACTTTTATTTAAATCCTATATTATTAGTACATAAATGTTATAAATAATATATCAACATACTAGTATTAGAATAATAAGCAATCATGTTGTTTAAATGCTCTACCAAATTAAAATTTTTTACTTTTCGATAAAATAGCTAAAAGATTATAATTTAAAGCAAGACTTAGTTGAGCATTATGGCACGTGTCTACAAGCCCAGGGTTTTGTAGGATAAGACAGAACTATATAGCAAGACCCTGTTTCAAGACAAAAACTTAAAGTAAAATAAGATAAAAATATTAACACAAGCTGACACTAAAACTATTGCTTTGAATTTTGCCTTTAAGGTAGAAAAAACAATAGCAGACTTTATATGTTTAATGCTGCTTTTATTATATGTTTACTCATTTAAAAGTTTTATAAAAGTATTAATGGAACATCATGAATGTAAGTACATCTTTTCCTGTTAGTTGTCATATTGGGAATATAAGCATTTTGAGATCAAATGGCTCTATGGCTCAAAATAATATAAATCGAATAATACTTTGTCAAATATAAAATCCTAATATAAGAAATAAGAAAGGAGATTATTAAAAAAATAATCATTATGGGGCTGGAAATGTAGCTCAATAATGTATTACCTAGAATGCCCAGCACCCTAGGTTTGATTGCCAGAAGTAGTACAAGCATCTGCACATGCAGCGCGTGTGGGCGCGCGCACACACACACACACACACACACCAAAAAAGAAAAAGCACTAAAGGTTTCTTTCTAAGCTGGGAGTGGTGGTGTGGTGTATGTTGTGGGCAGGCAGCAGGAAGATCCTGCCTTTTGAGAGCAGCCTGAGCTGCATAGTGATCTTAACATGTTAATGTGAGTTTCTCTCAAAGAAAAGATGAGCTTTCCTCAAAGCCATACATACAGTCTGAGTTACTCAGATATTTACACATGTCTTAGTATAAATCAAAGATTTTCACTTTAACAGTCGTTTTCCTTTCTTTACACACATATCTTTCTCCAGTCCCTCAGTTGTGTTTCCATGAATACAAAGGATAAATATGTATGTTGTAAGAGATTGAGTGTTACAGCTCTGGAGCTGCAAAGGTATCCTGACTTACTGGGAAAAGCCAGGCTATACCTAGAACTGCAATAGGATAGGTCAGCTCTGTAGGGAAAGGTTTCCTGACTTGCTGGGAAGTTGGGTAATAAGGTAAAGCTGGGATGCAGTGGGGGATGGCCTTCCTGCAAGATATAGCAGTCCTGCTCCTCTCCCAGAGAGAGCTTAAGAGCTTTCCAGAAGATGTTGTCTTTTCCTCTTCACTCAGCTAAACAACCGCAATGCTCTGCAGAAATGTAGCAATATCCTCCGGCTCCAGTGAAAAGTTGTTACTTTTTCTGCTCATCCTTGCTCAGCTGCCCCCCCTCCCCCTGCCCCCCAGGGTCTCAGCAAGGTTTTTTTCTACCCAGTCCTCTAACAAATGTCTCAGCAAGGTTCTTCTATTCTGTGCTGGTGAATGAAGATCTTCACCCAAGTCTCTTTTGAGAAAGATTTATTTGGGAAGGAGGAATCCAGGAGAATGGCTGCCTCTGCCAGGGTGGGAAAGCACAGCCTGCAACTGAACAGGCTGTGCTTTTTAGGGGTGTTTTCCCAGGGAGAAGTTTTTTTTTCTGCTTAGGGATTGGTTAGTTTTCCTATTCAGGGATTGATTAGTTTAGTTGGTCAGGGACAAAGTTGGTTCTGGTTTCATGGCCCAACTGTGTTTCTTTCACTGGCCCTTTTTAGCTTTTTTTTTTCTTCTCTATTTTCAGAGGTAAGGCATATGTCTTTTCACTGGCTGTGGTTCTAGGGCCACAGTAGGAATTGTGTGATAGTAGGATTTTAGCAGTATGTATTAATCCTGTCTATCCACTCTTGCTTCCTCCCTTGTGTGCCATGTTTTAAAGTACACTTGTCCTATATGACAATCAGATTAAAATGCCAAATAACCTTTCAAGTAACTAGCCTCCAAATAAGATATGATGATCATTCATAGTATATAATAGAAACTGTTTAATTCCTGAGGGAAAACAAAGCATAACATTAAAATTTGCATAATTGAGGTAATCCTAAAACAAGCAGGGTGTCTAAATCTTGCAATCACAGCACTTGATAGGCTGAGGGAGGAGGATCACCATGAGTTTGAGGCAAGCCTATTCCATACAGTGAACTCTAGAACAGCTTGAACTTCAGAGTGGCACCATGTCTCAGAAATCAAAAGATTTTCTAAACAAGAAATCTCTTTATGTAGAAATTCTGATTTTCATATGTATTTTTGGTATTATAACTGTTCTTTGAATATTTTAAAAAGAAGTTGATTTTATTATAACCATTGCTTAACGTTCTAGTATAATTATTATCTAAAGATGTGCTGATAGTTTGGCCTGTTTACTTCTATGTAAATATAAGAAGTCTTATTTTGCTGAGTAAAATATGCAACATTAAGTTTGTTTTGTTTTGAGACATAGTTTCACTATAACTTCAGGTAGCCTTAAACTCATGACAACCCTTCTGCTTCAGTCCACCAAATATTGCGATTATAGGCATGAAACTTCATACAAGGCTGGACATAAGCATTTCTAAAAGAAAGAGAAATAAGTACCTTGTGTAGAATGATTAACTGCATTGCTATGCAATTTGCCATGAAACTAATAATCATGGTTTCTCTGGGAGTGACAATAGTAAAGAACAATGTATCAAAATATTTACAAAGTGAAATAATGCTTTCTGTTTTGAAATCTGCTTCCATTAGTTTGGGAACCCGTTGTTTGAATCTGCTTGGTTTCCAGCAGTTCATGGGAGACAATGATATGACATCAGATCTAGTTGATGAAGGAAAAGAACTAATCAGACGAGGTAAGATCTGTTATTTTAAGATAAATAAAGAGACAGTTGTAAGTGCTAAGATTCAAATACAAAATTAATGTTTGCAAAATTTGCATATAATTTTTCTCCACTTTAAGAAACACAGTGGGCCTTTTTCCTCCTACTGGGTTTCCTTGTCCAGCCTTAATATGAGGGGATGTGCCTAGTTTTATTATGACTTAATATGCCATGTTTGGTTGATATCCCTGAGAGGTCTGCCCTTTTCTGAAGAGAAAGGAGGAGGAGGAGGAGGAGATCTGTGGGAGAGGAGAGGTTGGAGAAGGGCCTGGGTGGAGATGAGGGAGGGGAAACTGCAATTAGGATGTAATATATGAGAAGAATAAAAAAATATATATAAACCTTTTTTAAATTTAAAAAAGAAATACAGTGGTTTAACCTAAAATATGTATGTAATGTAAGATTTATGGTGAAGAAATTCTGCAGCATAAATTGTTAGTTTATCTGCAACTAGATAATGACCACTTATGATCTTGTAGTTTGAAGCAAAATACCTGAGATAGTTTGCAGGGAGGAAAGACAGCTTATTTCAATTCCCAGTTTTAGTGGTCACTTGCCTTTTAACAAGTGTAATATGTAAGAGAGCACGGCAGTTTATCCATATAGAAGCAATGAGAGACACAGGAAGTTGCTGTGTTCCCAGTAATCTGTTCAGTTTCCCCCAATGACTTAACTTTCCCCCATTAGGCCCTTACTTTGAAGGCTCTACCACCTGCTAACAGAAGCACAACCCGGTGACCAAGACTTTAGGGAACATCCAAGATCAAAACCATAGCAGAGCTGTTTTGTCTTTGTCCTGAAACATATTTGCCAAGTTCTATACAACCTGAAGCTCATTAGTTTAGAGTTATTAGTTTGCTACTATGTGTGAAATTATTCAAGCTGTTTTTTCCTTCTTAGAATATTATGATCATTGGTATGAGAATGTGAGTACTATTAAAATGTAGAGAACTTTCCCAAAACCCATTCACAAAGTAGAATATATTAAGTTTTCTTTTGTTCAAGTGGTATTAGGATGGGTGGGGACATTGTTTCTAAGTCTCCAGAATCTAGCTTTCACATGCTCTCCTATGTAAGTAGTGCCTATTTGATGTTATAATTCTGCATTTGGCATAGCACCTCCCCTTCATTATATTAGAATGGTAACTTGGGAGATACTGAGAGAATGAGTGACAGAATCACTACTCTGGAGCCCCAAGCACTGCACATGTAACCTGAAGAGCTTATATGAGAACAGAATTATATAAAAAGTATAAATTTCACCTAGAAGAAAAGTCTAAATGAGAATAGACACTACAGAACAACAAATTTGAGATCACCATGAGGCAGGAGATTCTTCCCTAAAGGTAGACAGGCTACAAAGCCATCTCTAGCAAAACAGGGAAACATCACCTATGTTTTGAGGTGAACTTGCAGGCCCTTTCTAACAGTAACCTGTTGCTTTAATTGTGTAGTAAGCTCTCCTTGCTTTGGTTACTCTATATCTAATTAAACCATATTATACTAAATTTGAGGCCATTTTTCTCGTCTTTAGAGAAAAGAAAAAGGCAAAGGCAAGAGGAAGGTGAAAATCGAAGAAGAGTAAGTGCAATATTTTATTAAATTGCTGTTAACCGAAACATCTAGGAAACACCCTAAGAATCTTACTTGGAGTAAATGGTTGGAGGTGAGAAACAATAGGTAAATGGCAAAGGATGTCTGAGATGTTCTGCCTGAGTGCATGCCTTTGTACTGTGTGCACACCTGGTATCCAGAGTCCACAAGAGGGCACTGCTCACCTAGAACTATTTATTCAATGAATAGATTCATGCAGTTTTGTTAATAAAATATTTGGGTTGCTTGGAAAAAAAATGCTTTTTTAATGTGGCATTTGTATTTTCCTCTTCAATTTCTCTTGAGTCCCTCATTTGCTGAGACAATCATCTTTTTTTTTTTGTCTTTTTTTTTTTTTTTTTTTTTTTTTTTTTACGAGACAGGGTTTCTCTGTATTGTTTTGGAGGCTCAGCCCAGCCTCGAACTCACAGAGATCCACCTGTCTTTGCCTCCCGAGTGCTGGGATTAAAGGCGTGCGCCACCACCGCCCGGCGAGACAATCATCTTTGAGAGGATGAGAAAAAGAAAGAAAATCTATTCACAATTTCTACAGTGTTTGAACACTGACATATTTACTCTGGAAAGTAACTAAGAGTTGTCTTTGTATGTTCTAGTATATGCCATGTAAAAGAAGATTTGTATATTGGGTATGGTGGCACATACCTTTAATCCCCAGAGGCCGAGACAGGCAGATCTTTGAGTGCTAGGCCAGCCTGTTCAACGTAGCAAGTTTGAGACCCTCTAGGGCATAGTGAGACTCTGTCTCAAAATAAGTATTTTTAAAAGATTGATAGATTTGTTCATTATTTCAGAAGTAGATGTCTTCTTTATGTCATAATTAGAACCAAACAGTAGACATTACTGGAGATTGATTTCACCTTCTATTAGGACAGTGGTTCTCAACCTGTGGGTCATGACTCCTGGGGTCAAATGATCCTTTCACAGGAATCACATATTAGATATTTGCATTATAATTCATAACAGTAGCAAAACTATAATTATGAAGTAGCAATGGAACTAATTTTAAGGTTGGGGGTCACCACAACATGAAGAATTGTATTAAAGGGTTGCAGTATTAGGAAAGTTGAGAACCACTGTATTAAGACTTCTAACTTCCACAGTTTACCAAAATTGTAATAGACTGACTACATAAACATAAAAAATATTGTATTCAAAGTGCCAAAAATATCTAGCATGAATATATACCTGCTTGTACAAAACACTGAATAGATGGCTCTCAAATGACCATTCCAATTAAATAGCTATAATGTATAGAATCTCAGTTAATGAGGCCATACTATCTTTCATGATAGCTCCTATATGAGTCAGTTTTATTATAGTTGTGTACAACCTCAATTAGTTACAAAAAAAGGGACTTATCAGATCTCTAGTATTTGTAGCTTGCTCAAGAAGAAGAAGTTTTTTAACATAACTTTTACATGGTCAAGGTAAGCTTGCTATTATAATTTTTTGACGTTTTAGATAGAATGTGTTAATATAGTCATGACCAGCAAAATGTTTTTGTTAAAATTAAATTATAAAAATTGATTCTAAAGATACTATTAAAATTTTACTGATTTCTAATGAATTTCTCATGAAAAATGGTTATATTAGTCTGCATATAGAATGTTGATCATATAACTTTTTATTACATATTTGATTGGGCTTCTGCCCTAGGAGTGGAAAGAACGTTATGGACACAACAGAGAAGATTCCACTAGGAACAGAAACGTTCATCCTGACCCCAAAGAGCCAAATTTCTCAGATACTACTACCAATTGGTGTAAGTAGCTTATTTCCTAGGTTGCTTAGGAATTACTTTATTAATGTTTGTGCTACATATATGTCTACAGTGACTTCCCTTTGTCATAACCCTTAGTGTGTACAAGGAAGGAGAAATGGGACATTAAATAGGTAGTTATAAGTGTATGAATCTAAATAAATTATTTCCAAGGCATGTTCTAGGGAGATACTTATTTCTTTTTTTATCATTTTTTATTTTAATTTTAAATAGCTTGTTTTACATGTCAATCCCAGTTCCCTCTCTCTCCCCTCCTCTGCCTCCCCTCCCCCCCCTCCCACCCTATTGCCAAATCCTTCCACATAGGGGATATCTAGAGTCTGTCATTTTACTCTTGGTAGGGTCCAGGCACTCTCCTAAGAGTCCAGGCTGAGAGAGCATCTCTCTTTGTGCTATAGGCACACGAAGACAGTTTGTATACCAGGGATAGACACTGATCCACAGCTCAGGGCCCCATAGGTTGCCCAGGCCTTCTCACTGACACTCCCATTTGGGGGGTCCAGATCAGTCCCATGCTGGCCTCCCCACTGTCGGTCTGGGGTCCAAGAGCTCTCCCCTGTTCAGATCAGCTGTCTCTGTTGGTTTTGCCAGCCCATTCTTTGCCAATTTGCTCATCACTCCTCTCTCTCTGTCACTGGGTTCCTTGGGTTCAGTTCAGTGATTAATTGTGTGTTTGCCTCTGCTTCCATCAGTCACAGGATGAAGGCTCCCGGATGGTTATAGATATCAAGTTCATTATCCGGAATGGGCATTCGATCCTATGATTCCCTCTTCCCCCTATTCTACCCCCACCCCCTCAACTTCCTGTTCCCCCATGACCAACTCCCTTCCTCTTCACCCCCTCTCTTCTTCCCAGGTCCCACTCCCCCCCACCCCTCGCCGTGTTCCCCATCCATTCAGAGGATCTTGTCTCCAATCCTCTTCTCTTGGGTACTATGCATATATGCATATCTTTTAGGTTCTTTCCTGTTTCCCAGACTCTCTATCTGTGGAAGTGCAGACTGGCACTATCCTGATCCATGTCTAAAATCCATATATGAGTGAGTACATACCATGTTTGTCTTTTTGCGACTGGGTTACCTCACTCAGGATGGTTTCTTCCAGTGCTATCCATTTCCCTGCGAATTTCAAGATTCCATTGTTTTTTTTCTGCTGAGTAATACTCCACTGTGTAAATGTACCACATTTTCTCTATCCACTCTTCAGTTGAGGGGCATCTAGGTTGCTTCCAGGTTCTGGCTATTACAAACAATGCTGCTATGAACATAGTGGAGCAGATGCCCTTGTTGTATGAACCTGCCTCATTTGGATAAATGCCTAAGAGTGGAATTGCTGGGTCTAGTGGTAGATTAATTTCCATTTTCCTGAGGAATCTCCATACTGATTTCCAAAGAGGCTGTATGAGTCGGCACTCCCACCAGCAGTGGAGGAGTGTTCCTCTCTCTCCACATCCTCTCCAGCATAAATTGTCTTCGGTGTTTTTGATTCTAGCCATTCTGACAGGAGTAAGATGGTATCTCAGAGTTGTTTTGATTTGCATTTCCCTGATGGCTAAGGATGTTGATCACTTTCTTAAGTATCTCTTGGCCATTTTAGCCTCCTCTACTGAGAATTCTCTATTTAGCTCTGTACCCCACCTTTCAAGTGGATCCTTTGGTATTTTGGAGACTTGTTTCTTGAGTTCTTTGTAAATTTTGGAGATTAGCCCTCTGTCAGATGTAGGGTTAGTGAATATCTTTTCCCATTCTGTGGCCTGCCTTTTTGTCTTTTTGACTGTGTCCTTTGCCTTATAGAAGCTTTTTAGTTTCAGAAGGTCCCATTTGTTAATTGTCGATCTCAGTGCCTGTGCCACTGGTGTTATGTTTAGGAAGTGGTCTCCTGTACCAACTCATTGAAGAGTATCTCCCACTTTCTCTTCTAAAAGTTTCAGTGTGGCTGGATTTATGTTGAGATCTTTGATCCATTTGGACTTAAGTTTTGTACAAGGCGATAAACCTGGATCTATCTGCAGTCTTCTGCATACCAGTACCCAGTTATGCCAGCACCATTTGTTGAAGATGCTTTCTTTTTTCCATTGTACAGTTTTAGCTTCTTTGGCAAAAATCAAGTGTTCATAGGTGTGTGGGTTAAAATTAGGGCTTTCGATTCGGTTCCATTGGTCTACCTGCCTATTTTTGTGCCAATACCAAGCTGTTTTCAGGACTATAGCTCTATAATAGAGCTTGAAGTCAGGTATGGTGATGCCTCCTGAAGTTCCTTTATTGTATAGGGATGTTTTGGCTATCCTGGGCCTTTTGTTTTTCCATATAAAGTTGATTAATGTTCTTTCCAGGTCCTTGAAGAATTGTGATGGAATTTTGATAGGGATTGCATTGAATCTATAGACTGCTTTTGGCAAGATTGCCATTTTTATTATGTTGATCCTACCAATCCAAGAGCATGGGAGATCTTTCCATTTTCTGGTATCTTCTTTGATTTCTTTCTTTAAAGACACAAAGTTCTTGATATACAGGTCTTTCACTTCCTTGGTTAACATTATCCCCAGATATTTGATGCTGTTTTTGGCTATTGTAAAAGGTGATGTTTCTCTGATTTCTTTCTCAGTCACTTCATCATCTACATATAATAGGGCCACTGATTTTTTTTAGTTTACCTTGTATCCTGCCACATTGCTGAAGGTGTTTATCAGCTCTAGGAGTAACCTTGCAGAGTTTTTTGGGTCACTTATGTAAACTATCATATCATCTGCAAATAGTGAAAGTTTGACTTCTTCTTTTCCTATTTGTATCCCCTTTATCTCCTTTTGTTGTCTTATTGCTATAGCTAGAACTTCAAGTACAATATTGAAGAGATATGGAGAGAGTGGACAGCCTTGTCTTGTTCCTGATTTTAGAGGAATTGCTTTGAGTTTCTCTCCATTTAGTTTGATGTTAGCTGTTGGTTTACTGTATATTGCTTTTATTATATTCAGGTACGTTCCTGTTATCCCTGATCTCTCTAGGACCTTTATCATGAAGGGGTGCTGGATTTTGTCAAAGGCTTTTTTAGCATCTAGTGAGATGATCATGTGGTTTTTCTTTCGCAGATTGTTAATATGGTGGATTACATTGATAGATTTTCTAGTGTTGAACCATCCCTGCATTCCTGGAATGAAGCCTACTTGATCATGGTGGATGATTTTTCTGATGTGTTCTTGAATCCGGTTTGCGAGTATTTTATTGAGTATTTTTGCATCAATGTTCATGAGGGAAATTGGTCTATAGTTCTCTTTCTTAGTTGTGTCTTTGTGTGGCTTGGGTATCAAGGTAATTGTAGCCTCGTAGAAAGAGTTTGGCAGTAAGCCTCCTGCTTCTATTGTGTGGAATACTTTGAGGAGTATTGGAATTAGCTCTTCTTTGAATTTCTGGTAGAATTCTGCACTGAAGCCATCTGGGCCTGGGCTTTTTTTGTTTGGGAGACTTTTGATGACTGCTTCTATTTCATTAGGGGTTATAGGTCTGTTTAGATTGTTTATCTGTTCTTGATTTAGTTTTGCCAAGTGATATCTACCCAGGAAATTGTCCATTTCCTTTAAATTTTCAAATTTTGTGGAGTACAGATTTTCAAAGTATGCCCTGATGATTCTCTGGATTTCCTCAGAGTCTGTTGTTATGTCCCCTTTTTCATCCCTGATTTTGTTAATTAGCATGCTCTCTCTCTGTCTTTTGGTTAGTTTGGACAGAGGTTTGTCTATTTTGTTGATTTTTCTCAAAGAACCAACTCTTTGTTTCATTGATTCTTCTCAGTGTTTTCCTGTTTCTACTTGATTGATTTCAACCCTCAATTTGATTATTTCCTGGCATCTGCTCCTCCTGGGGGAGTTTGCTTCTTTTTGTTCTAGAACATTCAGCTGTGCTATTAATTCTCTAGTATGACTGTTCTCCAGTTTTTTCATGTGAGCACTTAGTGCTATAAACTTTCCTCTCAGCACTGCTTTCAAAGTGTCCCATAAGTTTGTGTATGTTGTGTCTTCATTCTCATTGAAATCGAGGAAGTCTTTAATTTCTTTTTTTATTTGTTCCTTTACCCAAGGATGGTGCAATTGTGCATTGTTCAATCTCCATGAGTTTGTAGGGTTTCTGCGATTTGTGTTATTGTTGAATTCTAATGTTAATGCATGGTGGTCTGATAAGATGCAGGGGGTTATTCCAATTTTTTTGTATCTGTGGAGATTTGCTATGTTTCCTATTATGTGGTCAATTTTAGAGAAGGTTCCATGTGGTGCCAAGAAGAAGGTATATCCCTTTGTATTTGGGTGGAATGTTCTATAGATGTCTGTTAAACCCAGTTGGGTCATAACTTCTATTAGTTCTTTTGTTTCTTTGTTAAGTTTCTGTCTGGAGGTCCTGTCTAGCGGTGAGAGCAGACTGTTTAAGTCTCCTACTATTAGTGTGTGAGATTTTATGTGCATTTTGAGCTTTAGTAATGTTTCTTTCACGAATGTAGGTGCCTTTGTATTTGGGGCGTAGATGTTTAAAATTGAGACTTCGTCTTGATGTATTTTTCCTTTGATGAATATGAAGTGCCCTTCTTCATCTCTTTTGATTGATTTTAATTTGAAGTCTAATTTGTTAGATATTAGGATTGCTACGCCCGCTTGTTTCTTGGGGCCGTTTGATTGGAAGATCTTTTCCCAACCCTTTACTCTGAGATAACGTCTGTCTTTGATGTTGAGATGTGTTTCTTGTAGGCAGCAGAAGGAAGGGTTCTGTCTTCGTATCCATTCTGCTAGTCTGTGTCTTTTTATAGGCAAGTTGAGGCCGATGACATTGAGGGATATTAATGACCATTGATTGGTGATCCTTGTTTGCGCTTGATTTATTGTTAGTGAAGTTATTTTGTGTAGTTTCTCCTCCCTTTTTCTTTTGGTGTTTTGTAAAGTATGATTATATATTGCCTGTGTCTTTGTGAATGTAGTTATCTTCCTTGGCTCTAGGGTTTCC